GGCTCAATGGCCGTGGCTCACGGGCCCAGCCGCTCCGCAGCATGTGGAATCCTCCCGGACCGGGGCACGAACCCGTGTCTCCTGCATCGGCAGGCGGACTCCCAACCACTGTGCCACCAGGGAAGCCCTGTGTGGTAGTTTTATGTTTAACTTTTGAGGGCCTGCCAGGCCATTTTCCAAAGTGGTTGCACCATTTTCGTGCCTACCAGCAGTGTAATTCATGTATTTCTCAATGGGTAAAGGAATACAGATGTTCTCAGTCCTGGACTCCTTCCCTTCCTCCCCTCCAACACCTCCATCTCAGTTCGCGGGGCCTCCAGCCTCCCTCGGCAAATCCCTACCGTCTTGGGTTCTTCTGTCACTTTCGCGCCACATCCGGTCTGTCAGGCCGTGCACCTTCAGAGCTCACCCCCAATCTGACTCCCTCTTCCTGCGCCACTGCTACCCTGGACCAAACCCCCAGCATCTCTCACCTGTATCATTGCAACAGCCTCCTCCCAGGAAGTGCCCTTGAATTCCTATGTCGTCCTCCACAGCCAGAAGACGCCCTCCTTCGCTCAGCACCCACTGTTATCTCCCTCTCTCAGGGACTAAAGGCCCAGTGTAGTGTGCGCCCGTGTCCCCTGTAACCTCCCTCAATACCTCCCTCACTGACCTCCTTTCTGTTCTTCTAACTCACCCCAGGGCCTTTGCATCTGCTTCCCCAGATGTTTACAGCCCGCCCCCTCACCTCCAAGTCCCTTGCTCCAGCGTCAGCCCCTCAGTGAGGCCTTCGGTGACATTGCAAGCCCTTTGCGCCCCTAACAGACTTTCTTGCCTGGTGCGTCTGTCTGTCTCCCTGTAATGCACTATCAGCCATGACGGGAGGGACGCTTGCCTGTCTGTCCGCCGGGCTTGGTGTCGGGCACACTGAGAGAAGAGCTCCAGCCCCCTTCTGAGCTGCCTGCCCGCAGCTGCTGCCGGGCACAGTGTGGCATGAGGCTCTCCATGTGCTTTCTCTGCCTACAGGTGAGACGTACTTTTTAACTTGTATTTTAAGAAACAGCATTGTACCCCATTGCCACTTGTTTGCAGGCCTGCCACGAGGGCTGAGCTTCACAAGGCCAGAGACCTGGTACCCCCATGCCCAGCACAGGGCCTGGCGTTAAGTAGGCACTAATTGTGTCATTTTATAGATGTGGACACACTGCATCAGAAGGAAAACTACATGTAGCTGGCATCCCTGGGATTCAAGCATCCTTGTGCCCAGAGATGCTGGAGTCAGCGAGACTCCAGATGTTAGGTTGATTGGACTCCCAGCTGGACCGTAGAAACTTCTAGGCCGGGAGTTCCACCGCCAGGGACGTTGCTGTCTGCACTTAGAACAGGACTCTGGGGACTTCCCTGGTGGTCCAGTGGCTAAGACTCTGCACTCCCAGTGCAGGGGTCCCAGGTCCAATCCCTGGTCAGGGAACTAGAGCCCGCATGCCTGCCGCAACTGAAGATCCCACATACGCCAGTGAAGATCCCGCGTGCCGCAACTAAGACCCAGTGCAGCCAAATTAAAAAGAAAAAGAAAAAAAAAAACGGGACGCTGGAACTTGACTCTGGACTTTTTTTTCCCCCACATCTTTATGGGGGTATAAATGCTTTACAATGTTGTGTTAGTTTCTCCTGTACAGCAAAGTGAAGCAGCGTGTATATACCTATATCCCCATATCCCCTCCCTCTTGTGGCTCTGCAGATGAACCTGATTCAATTTCATGTTAATGCTGAGAGCTGGTGACCCAGGGGAGACTACCCCCGTTGCTGCAGCTGGCGATGGCTTTTGCGGAAGGAATCCTTTGAACAGGAACTTTTCTGGGCCAGTCACTATTGAAAAGAAAGACTTTAAATATCTTGACGTGGAACCATCGCCTGGCCTCTGCCCCCCGCAGCTCCTTGGGGGCAGGGGAGTCCGGGTTGATAATGGGGCGCTGTCAGCCCTGTCTGTCTGCGGGCAGTGTTACCAGGCGCCTCTGAAATCATCCCGGTTGGACCCACAAGCTTTTTGTTTAAGGCTCAAAGTGAGCAAACTCAGAGGTCTCCTGCGCTTTTGTGTGAGCTGGGGGATGGGTGTGTGTCTGCGTCGGGGAGAGCGGAGAGAAGTGGTTTTTCTGAAGTCAGCTCAGTATTGTTTGAGCCATTCCTAATAGTATATTGTTCACAGTGTCTACAAACAGCCCAGCAAAATGCTAAAGAGCAAAAAAACCATCCCCCCTTGTGCCAACAAGAGAAGAACACAGGGTTCTTTTGATGTATTTGTTTTCAGATGTTTTCCATGCATTTAAGCATGAAAGAACTTTTGGGGGTGGTGAAAACATTCTATACCTTCATGGGGGTGGTAGTTTCATGACTGTATACACCTGTCAAAACACTGAAAAGGGTGAATTTTACAGGATGTCACTTGTACCTCCTTCAATGTGACATAAAGAAACAAGTTGAAATGCGGCTGTTGGGATCTGTCTCTGCACATCACCCATCTTCCTAAATGGCTCCGCCATCATTACCATTCCTGGGTAACGTTATTCTCAAAGGCTGGTCCACACTCCCTCTTAGGACTGACCCGGAAGGTGCTTTGTCGTCCCAATAGGTGCACATAGCGGTGGTTTGCAGTTTTTCTCTATTCCAACAACACTGTGAAAGGTTGGCTCTATTTCCTGGGTGCTTTACTGCAGGGCCAGGGAGTGCGGGCATTTTATAAGCTCTTGATGTTGTCAAACTGTTTTTCAGAAAGCTTGTGTCATTCTGTACAGTCCCCTGGAGTGTCTGGGATTCTCCGAGAGCCATCAGTTTTAGTGTCAAAGCTTTTACATTTTTAGGAGTCTTGGTTAGTGGATTTGCTTAGTGTTCAGACGCCAAGTTTGACTTCTCTCTATTAAAAATGGGCCTGGGTTAGGCAAAGATTTCTCAGATACAACACCAAACACATGGTCCAAAAAAAAGAAAAAAAATCAATACATTGGATCTCATCAAAATTCAGAACTTTTGCACTTCAAAGCACAGTGATAAAGACGCCATTAAGAAATGACGGGACAAGCAGGCAACTGGGAGAAAATCTTGACAAAACACATGCCCAGTAGGGGCCTTGTATTCAGAATTGACAAAGAACTCCAACAGCTCAATAAAAAGAAGACAAACAACCCAATCGAAAAATGGGTGAAAGACAGGGACAGACATTTCCCAAAAGAATATATATGGTTGGCCAATAAGCACGAGAAAGGATCCCAGTACCGTTAGGTATTAGGGAAATACAAAGCAGAACCTCAATGAGAGACTATTTCGCCCTCACGAGAATGGCGATAATAACTGACGGACAATAAATGTTTTCGAGGATGTAGAGAAATAGGAACCCTCACACGTTGCTGGTGGGAATGTGAAATGGTGCAGCCACGTTGGAGAACAGTTTGTCAGTAAAAGACAAGCATAAAGCCTGATGCATACGTGTCGCTTACTACGTGACCCAGCTCTCCCACTGCTAGACGCCTCTACTCAAGAGAAACGAAAACATCTGTCCACACAGAGACCCTCATGTGAATGTCCTCAGCAGCATCTTCATAAATGTCTAAATGTCCATGAACTGAGGGCTGGATAGACAAAATGGATTTATGGCTCCGTTTATAGGAAATGTTCAGAAAAAGGCACCTCTTTAGAGACAGAAAGTAGATTAATGGTTGTCTAGAGCTTGGGGTGGGAACAGAGGTTAATTTTAATTAATTATAGTACTTTTGGGTGAAACTTGTGTACGAAGGATCTTATTAGGGAGATGAAAATGTTCTAAAACTTATTTATGGTGATGATTTCACCATTTGGTGAAGTTACTAAAAATCATTGAATCATACACTTGAAATGGGTGCACCGTATGATATAAAATACACCTCAGTAAAGTTGTTATAAGGTGGCGGGGGTGCTTTGCTTAGGAGAGAGATGGCAAGAAGAAGATGAGTGTGTGCTTCCAGCTGCCAGAGTCTTGCAATAACTTCAGAAGCTCTCTGGGTGCCGTGGGAGCTTTGGCGCTCCACTGCCCTGGAGGAAGAAGGAGCAGGGACAGATCGCCCTCAGATGGCTGCGCTCCACGGGGTGCCCCTTTGCAATGTGACTTTGCCCTTCCTCCTGTCCTATTCTGACTTTGCCAGCCCTGAAGCCATCTTTGCTGAGGGGAGGGGAGACCCGCCCGTCGTGCCTGAGTCTCAGGTGACACACCTTTGCCTTCATTCCATCCCATGATGCCCTGGCTCTTGACCTGCACACTACCTCCCTCAGGGAAGTGGTTCCAGATCTTGGCTATGCAGTGGGATCTTGGTGGAGGTGACTTTAACAAACAAGCGTTCTGTTCCAGTTATTTATTATTGCACAACGAATAATCCCCAAATTTACTGGGTTAGGACAGCAGTAACTTACTTTGCTGATAAATCTGCAATTTGCAGAGGGCTTGATGGGGACAGCTGGTTTCTGCTACACATGGTGTCAGCCAGGTGACTCAAAGGCTGGGGGCTGGAATCCCCTGAGGTCTGGCTCTCACATTTTGGGCAGTGAGGCTGGCAGTTGGCCGGGAACCCTGCCGGCTGTTGGCCAGAGCATCTACACGTGGCCTTTCCATGAGGCTGCTTGGGTCTCCTCACAACATGATGCTGGGTTCCTAGAGTGAGCGCCCCAAAGAACAAGGCAGAAGCACATGGAATTCGTATGACCTGGCTTCAGATGTCACCGAGTGTCACTTCCACTCTACTCTGTTGGCTGAGGTGGTCCAAAAGTTCTGTCGGGGTTCAAGGGGGAGGGGACTAGACCCACCACGGGATGTGAAGAGTGTTGACATCACACTGTAAGAAGAGAGGGTGGGAGGGAATCTATTGAGGTGTTTGGAAAATACAATCTATCACCGGTTCCTAAGCCCCACCTCTGGAGAATCAATTCCACAGGTCTGGAGTGAAGCCTCAGGATTGAAGATTTGACATGATCCTGGGTGATTCTCATGCACATCCAGGACCAAGGCTCTTTGGTCTAAGACCTCTCAAGCCTGAGTTCAGGGCCGCCCCACAGGAGATGCTGGGGAGATGGGCTGCTGCCCTTGGTAACAGGGTGATCGAGGACCCTTTGGAGCAAAACCAGCCTCAGGCAGCAGGTGCACCTGACGGGCAGGAGGCCTGCTGTCTGTCCCAGGGAGGGTGGTGTCACTGACCAGCTCTTGTTAATGGGGCCTTTTGGGAGCTGGTGTATCCTAGTAGCCTTTTCCCCTTGCAACCCTGGGTGTGTCTTTTTAGTACTTCCTTGCTTGTGGACGGTAGTCTGCAGGCTGTTGGACAGGGTGTCATGGCACTCAGTGGTGAAACTTGAGTCCTTCTCCCCAGGGGACCTCACTGCCATTTGGAGACTTCCCCTCACAGCTGTTCTTAAGGTTCAGTTTTTTAGACTGATCGAACCTGAGGAATGTCGGAGGGCCCCCGTCAGTGGGAAGTATTCTGGAATACTGGACTACTGTCCCCAGCCCCTGGGGACGGCCTAGGGAGGTGGGCACTGGGAGGGAGGGTGCTTGCGTCCACAGTTTTGCTCTTCGGCCACGGGTAGGTTGTGTCTCATCTCAGAGCCTCAGTTTCTGCAACAGCGAAGTGTGTGTGGAGGTTCCGCACCCATTCGCTTGAACAAACTACTGCCCAGGGGCTTGGTACCGGGGCCCCCGTGCGCCACTCCAGCCTCCTCATCCCTTCCCTGAACTTGCCACACGTTTTCACTCCGCTTGGCCTTTGCGTATGCTGTGTCCTCTGCCTGGAATGCCTCCCCTTGCTTTCCTCGCCCGGCAGACCCCACAGTTTGGCTTTTGTCACCTCTTCCGTGAAGCCTGCCCCGACCCCTCCGGGAGGGGGCCGCTGATGGAGCTGTAGTGGGGAGCTGGCAATGCCTCTCCCCTGTACTGCAGGTAAGGCTCAGGCGCATAATAGGTGCTCACGTTCAGAGCAGGAATTCCTGAAAGACTGAATGGGGGCTTCCCTGGCGGTCCAGTGGTTAAGACTTCGCCTTCCAATGCAGGGGGTGTGGGTTCGATCCCTGGTCGGGGAGCTATGACGGCACATGGCTCACGGCCAAAAAACCCACAAAAAACCAAAACATAAAAAGCAATATTGTAAAACATTCAATAAAGACTTAAAAAATGGTCCACATCCAAAAAAAAAAAAGACTGAGTGGATAAGCGAATAACTGAAGGCATAAAGGCAGCTGGTTCTGCATTTGTATACAACTCTCTGCCGGACCTTGTCTGGGCACCTGGCCTGGGACGAGCGACTGAGGCGGGGAGCCCCGCCCCCAGGAGAGGAGCCCCGCCCCGGGGCTGTGGCCACGCGCGTCTCCTAGCAACCGCCAAACATAGCGGCGAGGCGGCTCCTGCGGGCCTCCCTGCCCGGGTGGACGCACCAGGTCCTCTGAGCCTCCTCGGTGAGGAGGCTGTGCAGCTGCTGTGCGAGCTGACCGACGCCGTCGTCTGAGGCCACGCGGCTGCCCAGCGCGTCCGCTCACAGGTGCCTCAGGTACCCCTCCATCCGCCCCGGCCCCCGCTCCAGCTGCGCAGCCCCTTCTTAGCGTTTGCTGGCGTGCGGCGTCCATGGAGGGCGCTCGTGCCCGGAGCCCAGTACTCAGTGCTCGGTCGGGTCTTGCCTCGGGGTCCTCGCCCTCCTTGGCCTCAGCAGGCTCTTGCGCGCGCTGCCCCCAAACCGAGGTCATACTGTGCTTTGGCACAGCTAACCCGAGGCCCTCACCCCCCACCCATTCCCTTGTGATTCTTGGGGAATTGCACTCACCTGGAGCAGGCATTCCAGACGTGCTGAATGATTAACTTTGATCTTGAAAGGAGGAACAGCTGGGGCCGGGAGGACGGGACTCAATTTGGAGACGCTAGCTTTGCTGATTATCACGGTTACTGACGGCATCATTCTCTGAGGTTCATCTAATCTTTATTGAGTGTCCGCTGCGTGCCAGGCAGTGTCTGAGGCCTTGGCTGGTCAGCCCGGAACAGGACAAGGCACGGGGGAGAGGAGGGGGCAGGCAGGGCTTCCCTCCTGGGGGCAGTGGTGGTGACGGCCGTGCCTTTATTTCCTTGCAGCCGGGAGTGCCGGCCGGGGGGGCCGCCCTGCCGCATGTAGCTGCCGGCCTGTGAGTGGGAGGACGAGGACCAGGCGAGCATGGGGACCATGTCCTCCATGGGCAGCTTTTACCAGTCTGGGAGCGAGTGTGAAGTGGAGGAGAACCTGAAGGTTAGGGCCTGGGCCCAGGAGTCGGCCACCGGCTACCAGTGCAGCGGCGAGTCCTCAGAAGGGCCTGCCAGCACCTTCGACTCGGACGTGCCCCACGTTGTCCCCTGCAAGTTCATCATCTCTCTGGCCTTCCCAGTGACCGCGGGTAAGTGTGACAGCAGAGGGGGGGTGTACCAGTGACCTTCTCCCAGGAGTGTAGGGCACCTGTGCTCCCTCAGTAGGGTGGCCAGTGCCAGGAGCAGAGGTCCGGAAAGGAACTGCCACTTTAGGGCCCACTGTGGTCCAGGCAAGGAACAGTTTATGGGCTTCACAGACTCAGTCCTCTCAAAACCCCAAGAAGCAGGTGATGTTATTTCTGCTTTTTGAAAATAAAGAAGTGATGGAGGGGTTAAGGCATTCCCCCCCCCCCCCGCATAAGCTGGTTGTGCATCATCTAATTCCTTATTTAAATACAGACTCTCAGATTATTGGATCAAAATCTCTGAGTGCAAAGGTAATCAGCTACTGCCCAAAACCGCTGTGTAACAAATACAAACAACTCCCCATTTCATTGGCTTCAAACAGAAATCCCTGTCCTGGGTGAGCGGGCCAGCTGATCTAGGCTGGGCTTCCTGCAGTAGCTCTGCCCTGCTTCTGTCTCTGTCATCCTCCTCTCGGATGTGTGGGCAACCCAGACGCATTCCTGTCATGGAAAGGCAGGGCACAAAAGAGGGCAAGCCCAGTCACCCCAGCACTCTTCAGGTCTTTGGACACCTCCCACCTGCAGGCATTTTATTGGCCAAAGCAAGGCACATGGTTGAACCCCAAGATTAAGGGCAGAGAAAAGTACTCCACTTTTTTTAAGGTGGACTGTCTTTTTTTATATCAGCTTTTTAATTGAAATATAGTTAATTTACAATGTTGTCTTAGTTTCAAGTGTACAGCAAAGTGATTCAGTCATATATGTTCTTTTTCAGATTCTTTTCCATTGTAGGTTATTAGAAGATATGGAGTATAGCTTCCTGTGCTATACAGTAGGTCTTTGTTGTTTATCTGTTTTATATATAGTGGTGTGTATATGTTAATCCCAACCTCCTAATTTATCTCCCCTCCCCTACTATCCCTTTTGGTAACCATATGTTTGTTTTCTATGTCTGTGAGTCTATTTCTGTTTTGTAAATAAGTTCATTTGTTTCATTTTTTTAGGTTCTGCATCTAAGTGATATATAATATTTGTTTTTGTCTGACTTACTTCACTTAGTATGATAATCTCTAGGTCCATCCATGTTTCTGCAAATGGCATGATTTCATTCTTTTCATGGCTGAGTAATATTCCATTGTGTATATATACCACATCTTCTTTATCCATTCTTCTGTCGATGGACATTTAGGTTGCTTCCATGTCTTGGCTATTGTATACAGTGCTGCTATGAACACTGAGGTGCATGTATCTTTTTGAATTACAGTTTTCTGAAGATCTATGCCCAGGAGTGGGATTGCAGAATCATATGGTAACTCTATTTTTAGTTTTTTGATGAACCTCCATATTGTTCTCCACAGTGGCTGCACCAATTTACATTCCCACCAACAGTGTAGGAGGGTTCCTTTTTCTCCACACCCTCTCCAGCATTTACTGTTTGTGGACTTTTAATGATGGCCATTCTGACTGGTGTGAGGTGAAGCCTCATTGTAGTTTCGATTTTTCATTTCTCTAATAATGAGTGACATTGAGCAACTTTTCCTGTGCTTGTTGGCCAACTATATGTCTTCTTGGAGAAATGTCTACTTATGTCTTCTGCCCGTTTTTTCATTGCGTTGTTTGTTTTTTTGATATTGAGCTGCATGAGCTGTTTGTAAATTTTGGAAATTAATCCCTTGTTGGTAGCACCATTTGCAAATATTTGCTCTCAGACCTTAGGTTATCTTTTGATTTTGTTTATAGTTTCATTTGCTGTGTGAAAGCTTTTAAGTTGAATTAGGTCCCATTTGTTTATATTTCCATCACTGTAGAAGACGGATCCAAAAACATATTGCTGCAATTTATGTCAAAGAGTGTTCTGCCTATGTTTTCCTCTAGGAGTTTTATAGTATCCTGTCTTACGTGTAGCTCTTTAATCCACTTTGAGTTTGTTTTTGTGTATGGTGTTAGAGAATGTTCTAATTTCATTCTTTTACACGTAGCTGTCCAGTTTTTCCAGCACCACTTACCACTTATTGAAGAGACTGTCTTATCTCCAATGTATATTCTTGCCTCCTTTGTCATAGATTAATTGACCATAAATGCGTGGATTTGTTTCTGGGCTTTCTGTCCTGTTCTGTTAATCTCTGTGTCTGTTTTTGTGCCAGTACCATACTATTTTTTTTTTGTGGTATGCGGGCCGCTCACTGTTGTGGCCTGTCCCGTTACGGAGCACAGGCTCCAGACACACAGGCTCAGCGGCCATGGCTCACGGGCCCAGCTGTTCCGCGGCACGTGGGATCTTCCCAGACCGGGGCATGAACCCGTGTCCCCTGCATTGGCAGGCAGACTCTCAGCCACTGTGCCACCAGGGAAGCCCTACCATACTGTTTTGATCACTGTAGCTTTGTTGTATAGTCCGAAGTCAGGGAGCATGATTCCTCCAGCTCCGTTCTTTCTCAAGATTTCAGGGTCTTTTGTGTTTCCATACAAATTTAAAAAATTTTTGTTCTCATTCTGTGAAAAATGTCTTTGATGGTTTGATAGGTATTGTGTTGAATCTGTAGATTGCCTTAGATATTATGGTCATTTTAACAATATTGACTCTTCCAATCCAAGAACATGTGGTATATCTTTCCATATGTTTGTGTAGTCTTTGATTTCTTTCATCAGTGTCTTATAGTTTTTGGAGTACAGGTCTTTTGCCTCCTTAGGTAGGTGTATTCCTAGATATATCAAGAAGTACTCCATTTTTTGATATGTCTTTTTTTGTTGTTCTGCCTGAAATATCTCCCCACGAGGATTAATTTCAACTTCTCCTTGTAGTTCTGTTGATGGTTGCTTCAGATATTTTGGAGGCTATTTGGTTAGGTGTATACCATGTTTTAGAATTGACCTATCTTCTTGGTGAATTGAATTTTTGGTCATTGTGTGTGACCTCCTCTGTCCATAATGGTGCTTTTTATCTTTGGTTGGTTGATATCAAGCAAAAGAGCCTGGAAAAAAGACATGTGCAAATACCACCCAAAAGGAAACTGGTGCTTATTTGATTACCTTTAATCCTCACATCTCTTGCAGCATCTCCCAGATTTGTTTTTCTTAGTTGGGCACTTATTCCAAAGGCGTTTACAAAATAGATTGCTGTGCAGCTCAACTTATGAGACGTCGCCTGCGAGTATTTTTATGGCGCCAGTACCTTCGAAGGATCTGTCTTTGGCTGGATATAAAATTCTAGCTTCAATGTTTTTTCCTTCAATACCTAAATAGTTATGAATTTATTTATGAATGTTTATGTAAATTGTTTACTTAAGAGAAATGAGGTCCTGTGTTTCCTGTTCTACAACTTGCTCTTTAAAAATTTGATGACCTCTTAGATATCTTACAGGACATGAGCAGACCTGGCTTTACTTTGTTGTTGTTTGTTTTAAACACCTATATCGTATTCCATCGTATGTGTCTAATTTATCCTACCCTGTATTGGTGGGGTTTTTTTGTTTTTTTTTTAACCTGCCTCTTACTGTCAAGACTAGGGGCAGGCAGGTAAGTGCCTACAGTAAAAAAATTTAAGGAGATGCTCACCTCAGAGTCACGCGCTATAATTCCGCACACTGGCTTCCAGCCCTGGGGCTGCTCCTCTGGTGGCTGGGAGGACCGGACATGCATCTTAACTCCAAGCGGGTGGCAGTGGGGAGTCTGCACACGGCACCTCCTCCAGCCTTGGGCTCTTCTTCGTTCCGGGGAATTGTGGAGACGGGTCTGCTTTCCCAAGTGAGGTTAGAACAAGTCTCATTACATCTGTATCTTCTAGGTCACAAAGGAAAATATTCAAGTTTGGTTGCACAGTACAGGAGACACCCTAAAATGGACAAACCTATTGCAAAGGTTCGCCATTACTACCACATCGAGTACTTCCTCCTGCCTGGTGATGGGGAGCCTAAAAAGGTCGATGTGGTGGTGTTTCCAGCCTTGGCCAAAGTGTTCCTGGATTCAGGAATAAAGGTGAATGTGTTGTGAGTGTGAGTGTGTGTGTGTGTGTGTGTGTGTGTGTGGCCTTGCATGTAGTCTGATACTCACAAGAAATAGCAAGAGCCACAAAGGATGCTCACTTCCCCTGGAACTTGCTAGAAATGTAGGATCTTGGTCGCCACTCTAGGCCTACTGGATGGGAATCTGCATGAACCTAATAATACTGATAGCAACTCTATGATTTTCTCTGAAGGTATTTTTACCTAATAATTTCTTTGGTGTTTCAAAAGTTTTGGCAGCTCTTGTTATTTCTTTCTGTGTGTACACGTGAGTACGTGTGTGTGCACACCCGCCACCCGCACACACACGCACACTCCCGCCTGGGGCAGGGCTCTGGGTCAGGATGGGGAGTCCCTGGGGGGACACTCTTTGCAGGGAATTGCTTTTACTTTATTTTTCCGAGCAACCCAGAGGCGTGCAGGCCCCTGTCTGCGGCACCCATTTCCTGATTCCCTATGTGAGTTGGGAGCCAGGAGGGAGTGGGATGCACAGACAGACAAGCGGAAGGTAGGGCCTTCCACATCGTGGCAGCGGTCAGATCTTGGCCTCTGAGCTTTCAACGCTGAGAGTCTCTTGTTGTCCTTTTACACAGACCATCAGGCCATGGCAAGAAGGGGACAGGGTCTGGGTGTCGTGGACCCAAAGTTTTAACATCAACATGACAAAGGAGTTACTAAAGAAAATAAATTTTCACAAAATCACCTTGAGGCTCTGGGACACCAAGGACAAGGTTTCAAAAAAAGCCAAGAATTATCGATTAAAACCTTCTGGGTTTCTGGAAGATGCAGGATCTTTTGGTGAGTTCATGGCATTCATGTTTGATTTGAAATGTTTCTGCAGGCGTGTGGCTTCTCACTGGTAACAGCAGAAAAGCCAGCCAGCATCTCCTCGTTTGGTGCATCTGGTTTTCCTGGGGCCCACGCTGGTTTCTGTCAGCGCAGTGACACCCCCCTCCCTCCAGGGCATGTGTGGCGATGGGAAGGGCGCCCCAAGTCTGTGTGCCGCCCGTCAGCCACCACTCTGAGCAGTGCTGAGGCGGGCACCCACCACCGGCCTGTGTCCCAGGATGAGTCTGGTGTGCTCCCTGAACAAAAAAATTAGAGGCTATCGAGAAACGAAACAGAAAACTCGAAAGTCCCACAGCCCTGTTTCCATTAGGCCCTTCAGACTCTTCCTCATGTAAAAATTACTGTATCAGTGCCAGAAAGTCTCCTTTTGAACTCCCCTCAAAGGAGAGAGGCCTAGGTTGAAGTCACGCAGCTGAATTGAACCCTGTCTCCATCCCGAGCTAATGGTGACCTTGGGCACCTACTTCGTCTGGCCAGATGCCTGGGGGCAGGGTGGTGGGAGTGCGCCCCCTTCCCCCCGCAATAAGGAGGATTGCATTGTGTAGAGGGAATTTTAAAACTATAATAAAATGCTGCCACTTAAAATATGCAGCAGCATTCTTGTAAGATACATCCCAGTTTTCAGAGATATTAGAAGGTAATGTCGACGTGCTCCAGAGAATGGGGGGAATGAGGGGCTGTTACAGCTGCTGATCGTGGCTTCCAGACAAGTACAGCCCTCCCCACTTTCCATGAGCAAAGTAGGCCTGGACTTGCTTGTAGCGAGAGGCAGCACCAGAATCAGAACCCAGTTTTGTGTGACTGGAAAGTTTTTTCTCCGGTTTCCAGCCTGCGCTCCTCAGAGAGCCTTCCTGACCTTGGGGGCTTGGGGCTTCCGAGTTTTAATCTTTCATTGCTATCCCGGGTTTCTTAACCTCGGCAGTGTGGGCATCTTGGGTCGGATTGTTCCTTGTTGCAGGGACCGTCCTGGGCACTGGAGGGCTGTTAGCAGCATCCCTGACCTCTACCCACTAGACGCCAGGACTAGCCTCCCAGCTGTGACAACTAGAAATTTCTTCAGACGTTGTCTGCAGGTGCAAAATCGCCCCTGGCTGAAAATCACTGATTTGCCTCTAAACTACTAGTCCTGGGTGAGAAAATGGGATTCACGTTCTCTTTTCTCACTTGGACCAAAGGAAAGACCCATGTCCTCAGAGCGTGGGCTCTAAACCACCCACATTGGACGCACTTGGAGTGCAGCCTCAATGCAGATTCCAGGGCCTGCCCCGGAGCTGCCGAGCCCAAATTTCTGGTAAACATCTGCCTGGCAGTGGGCTTACCCTGGAGCAGAGGTGCCAGGGTGGGTGTACCAGGAGGACTTCCTGGAGAAGGGGCCATGGAGACAAGTTTGGAAGGGTAAATGGAATCAGCCGGCCGGAAAAGGGAGGAGGACGGGTGTCACGGGCCCTTCAGTGAGGGCCCATGGGCCTTTTGCTGTGAGCGTCCTTGGGGCCACTGCACCTCCTTGAACCCTGTCCCACGCCTGGCATCACTGCCTCTTAAGTTAACTAATTTTTTCCGTTAAAAGTATCAGTGTGTGTTCACTTTGCAAAACAATTTAGAAGTAAATTTGCCAAAGGGAGAAAAAATTAAAATCATATGATGTCTGAGCAGAGACAGCCATTGCTAACATTCTCCTGTGCATTTTACAACTGGGTACAAAATTTTAACAAAGATGGATCCAGTGTACATACTGTCTTAAGTCCTGCCTTTTTCCACTTAAGAAGTTATCTTTTTGTTTTATTTTGGAGGAGCTTTTTTTAATCAATATATTTTTAATTGAAGTATAGTTGATTTATAATGTTTACCACTGTACACTAAAATGATTCAGTTATTTGTGTATACATTCTTCTTTTTAAAAATATTCTTTTCCATTATGGTTTATCATAGGATATTGACTATAGTTCCCTGTGCTGTACAGTAGGGCCTTGTTGTTATCCATTCTATATATAATAGCTTAGATCTGCTAACCCCAACCTCCCGCTCCATCCCTCTACCAACCCTCTGCCCCTTGGCAACCACCAGTGTGTTCTTTGTGTCTGTGAGTCTGTTTCTGTTTCATAGATAGTTTCATTTGTGTCATATTTTAGATTCCACATATAAGTGATATCATATGGCATTTGTCATTCTCTTTCTGACTTACTTCACTTAGTGTGATAATCTCTAGTTGCATCCATGTTGCTGCAAATGGCAATATTTCATTCTTTTTTATGGCTGAGTAATATTCCATTGTATATATGTACTGCATCATTTTTTTTTAACATCTTTATTGGTGTATAATTGCTTTACAATGTCGTGTTAGTTTCTGCTGTATAACAACGTGAATCAGCTGTATGTATACATATAGCCCCATATCCTCTCCCTCTTGAGCCTCTCTCCCACCCTCCCTATCCCCCCTCCAGGTGGTCACAGAGCACCGAGCTGATCTCCCTGTGCTATGCAGCTGCTTCCCACTAGCTATCTATTTTACACTTGGTAGTGTATATATGTCAATGCTACCCTCTTACTTCATCACAACTTACCCTTCCCCCTCCCCATGTCCTCACGGTACCACGTCTTCTTTATCCATTCATCCGTTGATGGACATTTAGGTTGTTTCCATGTTTTGGCTATTGTGAATAGTGCTGCTATGAACATAGGGATGCATGTATCTTTTTGAATTATAGTTTTGTCTGGATATATGCCCAGGAGTGGGATTGCTGGATTGTATGGTAATTCTATTTTTAGTTTTCTGAGGAACCTCCATACTGTTCTCCATAGTGGCTCCCACCAACAGTGTATGAGGGTTCTCTGTTCTCCACATCCTCTCCAGCATTTGTTATTTGTAAGACATTTTAATGGTGTCCATTCTGACCAATGTGAGGTGGTACCTCGCTGAAGTTTTGATTTGCATTTCTCTAATAATTAGCAGTATTGGGCATCTTTTCATGTGCCTATTGGCCATCTTTATGTCTTCTTCAGAGAAATGTCTTTTTAGGTCTTCTGCCCATTTTTGATTGGGTTGTTTTTTTGTTGTTATTGAATTGTATGAGCTGTTTGTATACTTTAGAAATTAAGCCCTTGATGGTTGCATCATTTCCAAATATTTTCCCCCATTCCGTAGGTTGTCTTTTCATTTTATTTATGGTTTCCTTTGCTGTGCAAAAGCTTATAAGTTTGATTAGGTCTCATTTGTTTATTTTTATTTCTGTTGCTTTGAGAGACTGACCTCAGAAAACATTGGTACGATTTATGTCAGAGAATGTCTTGCCTATGATCTCTTCTAGGAGTTTAATGGTGTCATGTCTTATGTTTAAGGTTTTAGGCCATTTTGAGTTTATTTTTGTGTGTGGTGTGAGGGTGTGTTCTAACTTCATTGATTTGCATGCAGCTGTCCAACTTTCCCAGCACCACTTGCTGAAGAGACTGTATTTTTCCCATTGTATATTCTTGCCTCCTTTGCTGAAGATTAATTGACCATAGGTGTATGGGTTTATTTCTGGGCTGTCTGTTCTGTTCCATTGATCCATATGTCTGTTTTTGTGCCCGTACCACACTGTTTTGATTCCTGTAGCTTTGTAGTATCACCTGAAGTCTGGGAGGGCTATGCCTCCTGCTTCGTTCTTTTTCTTCAGGATTGCTTTGGCAATTCTGGGTCTTTTATGGTCCCACATGAATTTTAGGATTATTTGTTCTAGTTCTGTGAAAAAGGTCATGGGTAGTTTGATGGGGATCACATTAAATCTGTAGATTGCTTTGGGTAGTAGGGCCATTTTAACACTATTAATTCTTCCAACCCAAGAGCATGGGATATCTTTCCATTTCTTTGAATCCTCTTCAGTTTCCTTTATTAATGTTTTATAGTCCTCAGTGTATAAGTCTTTCACCTCCTTAGTCAGATTTTTTCCTAAATATTTTATTTTTGGGGGTGTGAGTTTAAAAGGGATTGTTGTTCGCATTCCCTATCTGATATTTCATTGTTGATGAAGAAGTTATCTTCTTTTTTAAAATTTATTAAATTTATTTATTTCTGGCTGCATTGGGTCTTCGTTGCTGCACGTGGGCTTTCTCTAGCTATGGCGGCTCTTCGTTGCGGTGCATGGGCTTCTCATTGTAGTGGCTTCTCTTGATGCAGAGCATGGGCTCTAGGTGTGTGAGCTCAGTAGTTGTGGTACGCGGGCTCAGTAGTTGTGGCACGTGGGCTCTAGAGCGCAGGCTCAGTAATTGTGGTGCATGGGCTTAGTTGCTCCGTGGCACGTGGGATCTTCCCGGACCAGGGCTCAAACCCGTGTCCCCTGCGTTAGCAGGCAGATTCTCAACCACTGTGCCACCAGGGAAGCCCCAGTGTGTATTTCTGATTGAGTCCATGATGCTTTCTTCTCCTGCATTCTAGAGGAGGTGAAACATTTGGTTTTAAGTCAGAGAAGATCGTCTGAACAGGGCATTCACATCAAAGCGAAGCTGCATCAGGACCACACACCAGGGAAGCCAGAAAAAGCAAGAAAATGCTTAAGGTCTGGACATGGTGAGTGGAGACCCTGGCAGGGAAGGTGGTTGGTTGGCGTAGCTGGAGTGGCACATGTGCACCGGCGTCCGCCCCGCGCGTGCGGTGGCTGTGCTGTGCCCCTCCGAAGTGGGCGCGGCTCTCCCTGCACGACTCCTTCATTGTGGATTCTTGCCATTTCATTTTTGTGACTTACCAAAAAAAAAAAAAAACCCAAACCTTTCCTAGCCGTAGAAGTTAGGTACATCTTTTTTTGTTTGCTTTTTAGAATATTCAGTGAATATGCTGGGTTGGCCAAAAAATTCGTTCGGGTTTTTTCCGTAAGGTGTTACAAAAGCATAAAACAAGCAGGGAAAATAAGCTATCGTTCTGTCTCCAGGGACAAACGTAATATTTTGGTTATCATATTATGGCAACTCCTTTGTTTTTGTGCTAAGATTTTTTTTTTTACATGGATGAGGTTATTCTGGACACATAATTTTCTGTTCTGAGATTACTACATCACATGCACTGTCCTGTTTCCTTAAGAACTTTCCGTAAACTTCATCTGTGGTTACTTTGTAATATTTCCTCTGCTGGCGGCACTGTAATGTGCTTAACTATTCCCTGTTGGTGGGAACTTAGGAATCGTGGGGGGTGTTTTCTGTATTCTCTACGGTGCTGAAGTGGACAGTTGAACAGATGATAGACTTTTCTTCTTTTTTGTTCTCTGGGGGGTTAGATAAGGACCTAGGGGCCTTCTCTTGCCTCCATTTGTCCAAAGTAACCATAGTTATTCTGTGTATTCATTCATTACTCACGTATTATTGACAGACCTTTATACCAAATGCTTGGGGACTGTTGCCCGGGGGCTGGCATTGCGTGTGCCTTAGTGAACTCGTATAGAACAGGAAGTTTGGAGACACTGGCTAACATTACTGGCTTCTCACCCAGCAGAAAAGGCAACTCTTCCCAAGACCACCAAGGACGATGAAGAGCTGCTCAGGACGGAAGATCTTGACACAGTACGGTAAGGATGGCCCTGTGTTATTTTGGGGTGTGGGAGTGGAACCCCCTCTTGTACTTGCCCCACAGATTCTCACCCAGAGTCATGTCGATTTTTGGTTACTTCATTTATGTTCGATCTCACGCAATCCAGCTGAGATGAACAGAACAGAGAGAGGCATGCTGTGCCTTGGAGTGTGTGTTGTGCATCGGGCCCCATGCTTTTGCCTGCGTTCCTGTATCGCATTTAATCACCAGCATTATCACCCTGTGGGGTGGTATTACCATCTCCATTTTCTCCATAAAGTCACTGAGGGGTTACGTGATTTTTACAAAGTTATACAACTAGAATTCTTGGTCATCTTGAGAGTGTTGGTAACGCCAGGATCCCAACCCACACCTTCAGATAACTGAGTCCACAGCCTTTCCTGTTGGGAGTGTGGTTGCTCTTGGGGCCTCCTGTAGCCTAATGAGGGTCCAGCAAAGGAGGCTTCTCAGATGCTGTGGGGAGTCAGGGAGAATGGAGGCCCAGCTGGTGGCTTGACGGCATAGGATGGGAAGAACCAGAGAACATGTCATTCTTTTCAAAAATTTTATTGAATTATAGTTGATTTACAATGTTGTGTTAATTTCTTCTGTACAGCAACGTGACTCAGTGTTGATTAAAAAAATTTTTTGCAGGAATTTACAGATTAATTTGGGGAGAATTGACTCCCCCCCCCAGAATATATATATATATATATATATATATATATATATATATATATATATTTTAACATCTTTATTGGAATATAATTGCTTTATAATGGTGTGTTAGTTTCTGCTTTATAACAAAGTGAATCAGTTATACATATACATATATCCCCATATCTCTTCCCTCTTGCGTCTCCCTCCCTCCAACCCTCCCTATCCCACCCCTCTAGGTGGTCACAAAGCACCAAGCTGATCTCCCTGTGCAATGTGGCTGCTTCCCACTAGCTATCTATTTTACGTTTGCTAGTGTATATATGTCCATGCCACTCTCTCACTTCGTCCCAGCTTCTCCTTCCCCCCTCTGTGTCCTCAAGTCCATTCTCTAGTAGGTCTGTGTCTTTATTCCCGTCCTGCCCCTAGGTTCTTCATAAACATTTTTTTTTTTAGATTCCATATATATGTTAGCATATGGTATTTGTTTTTCTCTTTCTGACTCACTTCACTCTGTATGACATAATCCAGGTCCATCCACCTCATTACAAATAACTCAATTTCGTTTCTTTTTTATGGCTGAGTAATATTCCATTGTATATATGTGACACATCCTCTTCATCCATTCATCTGTCGATGGACACCTAGGTTGCTTCCATGTCCTGGCTATTGTAAATAGTGCTGCAATGAACACTGTGGTACATAACTCTTTTTGTGTTTTTGTTTTTGTTTTTGTTTTGTAGTACACGGGCCTCTCACTGTTGGGGCCTCTCCCGTTGTGGAGCACAGGCTCCGGACGTGCAGGCTCAGCGGCCATGGCTCACGGGCCCAGCCGCTCCGCGGCATGTGGGATCTTCCCGGACCGGGGCACGAACCCGCGTCCCCTGCATCGGCAGGAGGACTCTCAACCACTGCGCCACCAGGGAAGCCCCTTTGTTTTTTTTTATGTCTGTGTGGATAGTGATAATAATCCAATAGTAGTATTATCATCAACAACAGATTTTTAAAATTTTTTGAATTTTATTTTATTCATTTATTTATTTTTTGCGGTACACGGGCCACTCACTGTTGTGGCCTCTCCTGTTGCGGAGCGCATGCTCCGGGCGTGCAGGCTCAGCGGCCGTGGCTCAGGGGCCCAGATGCTCCGTGGCATGTGGGATCCTCCCGGACCGGGGCACGAACCCGTGTCCCCTGAATCGGCAGGTGGACTCTCAACCACTGCGCCACCAGGGAAGTCCTATTTTATTTTTTTATACAGCAGGTTCTTATTAGTCATCAATTTTATACACACCAGTGTATACATGTCAATACCAATCGTCCAATTCATCACACCACCCCCCAGCCCCCGCCGCTTTCCCCCATTGGTGTCCATACGTTTGTTCTCTACATCTGTGTCTCAATTTCTGCCCTGCAAACTGGTTCATCTGTACCATTTTTCTAGGTTCCACATACACACGTTAATATACGATATTTGTTTTTCTATTTCTGACTTACTTCACTCCGTATGACAATCTCTAGATCCATCCACATCTCAAAAAATGACCCAATTTCATTCCTTTTTACGGCTGAGTAATATTCCATTGTATATATGTACCACATCTTCTTTATCTATTCGTCGTCTATGGGCATTTAGGTTGCTTCCATGACCTGGCTATTGTAAATAGTGCTGCAATGAACATTGTGGTGCATGTGTGTTTTTTATTTTTTTATTCTTGGAGGGAATTTTTTTTTTATTCAAACAGAAAGTCACAAAAATTATAATCATCCTCATCAGTTCACTCAGTCCCATGTAATTTTTTTTCATCTTGATCTTTTGTTAGCACTTTTACGAATTCATCAGTTTTCCAGTAGAGTTCTGAAAATGCTTATTCATTCAGTTCAGCAGTATAGTCAGTTACCAGAAACCTGTACTTGTCAGAGTCTTTTCCATGAATTCCTTGAAGATGAAATCCTTTTATAGGAACATTTTTGCAAAAGCATCAGAGTACACCCAGAACTGTCTGTAAATGACAAAAGACTTAAAAATGTCCACGGTTAAAGATTTGATGAAAGTTCATAATTATGCAATTGACAAGGAAATTTAGTTATTTCTGAGATACACACTTTAAAGTAATAACTAGAATTATGACTTATTATACCAGAACATATAAGATTTTTAGAAATTTCATGTAATGTCTGAAACATTTATATTAACATATTTCCATACAAATAACCCAAAGAAAGTTTAGTATTAGTTGGGTTTTTTTGTTTTTTTTTATACTGCAGGTTCTTTTTAGTCATCAATTTTATACACATCAGTGTATACATGTCAGTCCCAATCGCCCAATTCAGCACACCACCATCCCCACCCTACCACGGTTTTCCTCCATTGGTGTCCATACGTTTGTTCTCTACATCTGTGTCTCAACTTCTGCCCTGCAAACCAGTTCATCTGTACCATTTTCCTAGGTTCCACATACGTGCGTTAACATACGATATTTGTTTTTCACTTTCAGACTTACTTCATTCTGTATGACAGTCTTTAGATCCATCCATGTCTCAACAAGTGACTCAATTTCGTTCCTTTTTATGGCTGAGTAATATTCCATTGTATATATGTACCACATCTTCTTTATCCATTCGTCTGTTGACGGGCATTTAGGTTGCTTCCATGACCTGGCTATTGTAAACAGTGCTGCAGTGAACATTGGGGTGCATGGGTCTTTTTCAATTATGGTTTTCTATGGGTATCTGCCCAGTAGTGGGATTGCTGGATCATATGGTAATTCTATTTTTAGTTTTATAAGGAACCTCCATACTGTTCTCCATAGTGGCTGTATCAATTTATATTCCCACCAACAGTGCAAGAGGGTTCCCTTTTCTCCACACCCTCTCCAGCATTTGTTGTTTGTACATTTTCTGATGATGCCCATTCTAACTGGTGTAAGGTGATACCTCATTGTAGTTTTGATGTGCATTTCTCTAATAATTAGTGATGTTGAGCAACTTTTCATGTGATTCTGTATGTCTTCTTTGGAGAAATGTCTGTTTAGGTCTTCTGCCCATTTTTGGATTGGGTTGTTTGTTTCTTTAATATTGAGCTGAATTAGCTGTTTATATATTTTAGAGATTAATTGTTTGTACGTTGACTTGTTTGCAAATAGTTTTTCCCATTCTGAGGGTTGTCTTTTCGTCTTGTTTGTAGTTTCCTTTGCTGTGCAAAAGCCTTGAAGTTTCATTAGGTCCCATTTGTTTATTTTTGTTTTTATTTTCATTACTCTAGGAAGTGGATCAAAAAAGATCTTGCTGTGATTTATGTCAAAGAGTGTTCTTCCTATGTTTTCCTCTAAGAGTTTTATAGTGTTCAGTCTTACATTTAGGTTTTGAATCCATTTGGAGTTTATTTTTGTGTATGGTGTTAGGGAGTGTTCTAATTTCATTCTTTTACATCTAGCTGTCCAGATTTCCCATCACTGCTTATTGAAGAGACTGTCTTTTCTCCATTGTATATCTTTGCCTCCTTTGTCATAGATTAGTTGACCATAGGTGCGTGGGTTTATCTCTGGGCTTTCTATCTTGTTCCATTGATCTATGTTTCTGTTTTTGTGCCAATACCATATTGTCTTGATTACTGTAGCTTTGTAGTATAGTCTGAAGTCAGGGAGTCTGATTCCTCCAGCTCCGTTTTTTTCCCTCAAGACTGCTTTTGCTCTTCAGGGTCTTTTGTGTCTCCATACAAATTTTAAGATGATTTGTTCTAGTTCCGTAAAAAATGCCATTGGTAATTTGTTAGAGATTGCATTGAATCTGTAGATTGCTTTGGGTAGTATAGTCATTTTCACAATATTGATTCTTCCAATCCAAGAACATGGTATATCTCTCCATCTATTGCTATCACCTTTAATTTCTTTCATCAGTGTCTTATAGTTTTCTGCATACAGGTCTTTGGTCTCCCTAGGTAGGTTTATTCCTAGGTATTTTATTCTTTTAGTTGCAGTGGTAAATGGGACTGTTTCCATAATTTCTCTTTCAGATTTTTCCTCATTAGTGTATAGGAATGCAAGAGATTTCTGTGCATTAATTTTGTATCCTGCCACTTTACCAAATTCATTGATTAGCTCTAGTAGTTTTCTGGTGGCATTTCTAGGATTCTCTATGTATAGTATCATGTCATCTGCAAGCAGTGACAGTTTTACTTCTTCTTTTCCAATTTGTATTCCTCTTATTTCTTTTTCTTCTTTGATTGCCATGGCTAGGACTTCCAAAACTATGTTGAATAATAGTGGTGAGAGTGGACATCCTTGTCTTGTTTCTGATCTTAGAGGAAATGCTTTCAGTTTTTCACCATTGAGAATGATGTTTGCTGTGGGTTTGTCATATACGGCCTTTATTATGTTGATGTAGGTGCCTTCTATGCCCACTTTCTGGAGAGTTTTTATCATAAATGGGTGTTGAATTTTGTCAAAAGCTTTTTCTGCATCTATTGAGATGATCATATGGTTTTTATTCTTCAATTTGTTAATATGGTGTATCACATTGATTGATTTGCATATATTGAAGAATCCTTGCATCCCTGAGATAAATCCCACTTGATCGTGGTGTATGATCCTTTTAATGTGTTGTTGGATTCTGTTTGCTAGTATTTTGTTGAGGATTTTTACATCTGTATTCATCAGTGATATTGGTCTGTAATTTTCTTGTTTTGTAGTATCTTTGTCTGGTTTTAGTATCAGGGTGATGGTGGCTTCATAGAATGAGTTTGAGAGTGTTCCTTCCTCTGTAATTTTTTGGAAGAGTTTGAGAAGGATGAGTGTTAGCTCTTCTCTAAATGTTTGATAGAATTCACCTGTGAAGCCATCTGGTCCTGGACTTTTGTTTGTTGGAAGATTTAAAATCACAGTTTCAATTTCATTACTTGTGATTGGTCTGTTCATATTTTCTGTTTCTTCCTGGTTCAGTCTTGGAAGGTTATCCCTTTCTAAGAATTTGTCCATTTCTTCCAGGTTGTCCATTTTATTGGCATAGAGTTGCTAGTAGTAGTCTCTTAGGATGCTTTGTATTTCTGCAGTGTCTGTTGTAACTTCTCCTTTTTCATTTCTAATTTTATTGATTTGAGTCCTCTCCCTCTTTTTCTTGATGCATCTGGCTAATGGTTTATCAATTTTGTTTATCCTCTCAAAGAACCAGCTTTTAGTTTTATTGATCTTTGCTATTGTTTCATTTCTATTTCATTTATTTCTGCTCTGGTCTTTATGATTTCTTTCCTTCTGCTCACTTTGGGTTTTGTTTGTTCTTCTTTCTCTAGTTCCTTTAGGTGTAAGGTTAGATTGTTTACTTGAGACGTTTCTTGTTTCTTGAGGTAGGCTTTTATAGCTATAAACTCCCCTCTTAGAAGTGCTTTTGCTGCATCCCATAGGTTTTGGATTGTCATGGTTTCATTGTAATTTGTTTCTAGGTATATTTTGATCTCCTCTTTGATTTCCTCAGTGATCTCTTGGTTATTTAGTAACGTATTGTTTAGCCTCCTTGTGTTTCTGTTTTTATGGTATTTTTCCCTGTAATTCATTTCTAATCTCATAGTGTTGTGGTAAGAAAAGATGCTTGATATAATTTCAATTTTCTTAAATTTCCTGAGGCTGGATTTGTGACCCAAGATGTGATCTATGCTGGAGAATGCTCCATGCGCACTGGAGAAGAAAGTGTAATCTGCTCGTTTTGGATGGAATGTCCTATGAATATTAATTAAATCTATCTGGTCTATTGTGTCATTTAAAGCTTCTGTTTCCTAATTTATTTTCATTTTGGATGATCTGTCCATTGGTGTAAGTGAGGTGTTAATGTCCCCCACTATTATTGTGTTACTGTCAATTTCCTCTTTTATAGCTGTTAGCAGTTGCCTTGTGTATTGAGGTGCTCCTATGTTGGGTGCATATATGTTTATAATTGTTATATGTTCTTCTTGGATTGATCCTTTGATCATTATGTAGTGTCTTTCCTTGTCTCTTGTAACATTCTTTATTTTAAAGTCTCTTTTATCTGATATGAGTATACTTTCTTTTGATTTCCATTTGCATGGAATATCTTTTTCCATCCCCTCACTTTCAGTCTGTATGTGTCCCTAGGTCTGAAGTGGGTCTCTTGTAGACAGCATATATATGGGTCTTGTTTTTGTATCCATTCAGCAAGCCTGTGTGTTTTGGTTGGAGCATTTAATCCATTCACGTTTAAGGTAATTATCGATATGTATGTTCCTATGACCATTTTTAAAATTGTTTTGGGTTTGTTTTTGTAGGTCCTTTTCTTCTCTTGTGTCTCCTATTTAGAGAAGTTCCTTTAGCATTTGGAGCTGGTTTGGTGGTGCTGAATTCTCTGAGCTTCTGCTTGTAAAGCTTTTGATTTCTCCCTCGAATCTGAATGAGATCCTTGCCGGGTAGAGTAATCCTGGTTGTAGGTTCTTCCCTTTCATCACTTGAAGTATATCATGCCACTCCCTTCTGGCTTGTAGAGTTTCTGCTGAGAAATCGGCTGTTAACCTTATGGGAGTTCCCTTATATATTATTTGTTGTTTTTCCCTTGCTGCTTTCAGTAATTTTTCTTCGTCTTTAATTTTTGCCAGTTTGATTACTATGTGTCTCGGCATGTTTCTCCTTGGGTTTATCCTATATGGGACCCTCTGTGCTTCCTGGACTTGGGTGACTATTTCCTTTCCCATGTTAGGGAAGTTTTCGACTATAATCTCTTCAAATATTTTCTCTGGTCCTTTCTCTCTTTCTCCTTCTTCTGGGACCCTTATAATGTGAATGTTGTTGCATTTAATGTTGTCCCAGAGGTCTCTTAGGCTGTCTTCATTTCTTTTCATTCTTTTTTCTTTAGTCTGTTCTGCAGCAGTGAATTTCACTATTCTGTCTTCCAGGTCACTTATCCCTTCTTCTGCCTCAGTTATTCTGCTATTGATTCCTTCTAGTGTAGTTTTCATTTCAGTTATTGTATTGTTCATCTTTGTTTGTTTGTTCTTTAATTCTTCTAGGTCTTTGTTCAACATTTCTTGCATCTTCTCGATCCCTGCCTCCATTCTTTTTCCGAGGTCCTGGATCATCTTCACTATCATGATTCTGAATTCTTTTTCTGGAAGGTTGCCTATCTCCACTTCATTTAGTTGTTTTTCTGGGGTTTTATCTTGTTCCTTCAATTGGTACATAGCCCTCTGCCTTTTCATCTTGTCTGTCTTTCTGTGAATGTGGTGTTTGTTCCACAGGCTGCAGGATTGTAGTTCTTGTTGCTTCTGCTGTCTGCCCTCTGGTGGATCAGGCTATCTAAGAGGCTTGTGCAAGTTTCCTGATCGGAGGGACTGGTACATGACTCTTTTTGACTTATGGTTTTCTCAGGGTAGTGAATTGACATTTTTACATTTTGTAGTTCTCCCATCCATGATCATGGTGTATCTTTTTGCCTAATTCAGCTCCTCCTTTATGAATTTTAATAGGGTTGATTTTTTTTCTTCCTATAGTTGTTGTGGATAATTCCTGTAAAAGAATTCCTAAATATTTTAGAGTTTCAGTTGCTTTTTATAAAATATATTATTTTTTCCATCATAAATGATAATGCAAGTTTGTCTGCAGACTGCCAGCCTCAGCATGACTGGGAGCTTGTTAGAAATGGGAATCTTAGGGACACCCCAGGCTTGCTGAACCACAATCTGCATTTTATTCAGTGATTCATATGCATGTTGAAATTTGAGAAGCAGTGGGTTAGAGGAATGTGGTGTTATATTTTTAAAAGTCTGCTTACATGCAGTCCAGTAAATAAATTACTAGATCTGGTCCCTGATTTTTCTCACTTTCATTTATTTTTCTCTTTGTGAATTTTCTAGATGTGGTACTTCAAGACCAGTTATTGCTTTGGGAGGGGCAACCATGACAGAGATGGAGGAGTTAATTGAGAGGCCGTCATTTAGCAGCTTAACAAACTTGTTGGAAAAGCAAACATTTCAAAGTAAGTTAGGATGGGACTTCGGAAATTTATAGTATAAGTAGACCTGGAAAAGAATTATGAAATATTTCAAATTCAAGATACTTCAATAAGATTCAAATTTTATTCAAAAGTAAAAACTACTACATGCAATTTTAACTTACCCGGTCCATCTCACCTCATCCGTCCGTCCATCCATCCATCCATCCTATCCCATGCCATCCCATGCCATCCCATGCCATCCCATGCCATCCCATCCCATCCCATCCCATCCCATCCCTTCCCATCCTTTCCCATCCCATGCCATCCCATGCCATCCCATGCCATCCCATGCCATCCCATGCCATCCCTTCCCATCCTTTCCCATCCCATGCCATCCCATGCCATCCCATGCCATCCCATGCCATCCCATCCCATCCCATCCCATCCCATCCCATCCTTTCCCACTCCACCAGTATTTCTGTGCTCCTGGTCCATGGTGTTGTGTGTATGGGAAACATGAAAATCTCTACTATTGACCAGAGACTTCCAGATAAATAATTACACTTCTATGTGATAGATGCTGTGTAGGGTGGGTATGTGGGATGTGGGGGTGGAGAGGCTGTCTTTGGAAGATGAGAAGCCATTTGCTTCTTAAGGTGGAATGAGGGAAATGGCACTCCTGAAAGCATATGATCTGTGTCCGACTCCCAGCAAGGACCCTCGGGTCCCTGAATCTACCTCCTCGTTCTTTTTTTTTTTTTGCGGTACGCGGGCCTCTCACCGCCGCGGCCCCTCCCGCCGCGGAGCACAGGCTCCGGACACGCAGGCCCATGGGCCATGGCCCACGGGCCCAGCTGCTCCGCGGCACGTGGGATCCTCGCGGACCGGGGCACGAACCCGCATCCCCTGCATCGGCAGGCGGACCCCCAACCACTGCGCCACCAGGGAAGCCCTACCTCCTCGTTCTTGGCCTAGATCTCCTCAGCAGTGTTTCAGCAAGCGGTTGTGTTTCCAGTATGAGGTGGAAAATTCTAGAGCTGGGGCACTTGCTTCCCGTTTCCCATTTGTTGAGCTGTAACTGCTGCAAATCGTTTCCTTAACCCTCAGTCAATCTGCTTTTCCCAGTTCTAGTCCAACCCTGAAGCTTCTGGAGTCAGGCTCCTCACTGGCCGTAGGAGATGTAGGGGAGTAACATCAGTCCTGTTTTTCAGGCCCTAAAAGACTAGGAACACCTTGCAACTCCTTCCGAGTTTTCTCTTTCCAGGTTAAACAGCCTCAGTGCTTTTTAATGTCCTTTAAGCATTTTAATGAGGTTTTCAAGCCATGCTTCTTTTTTTGAAGTAGAGAAAAGTACACAGAAAAATGTACAACGATGTACCCACAATTTAGGTATTAATATTTTGCCATATTTCCTTTATTTCCTTCTTGTTCCTTTTTTCTTTTCTTTCTTTCTTTTCTGTTTTTTTTAAAGAAATAAGAGGCTACAGATACAGTTTATGCGCCCTTGGCTTCCCGTGCTTTTGAGAAGCGTACAGCCACCCTCGCCTAGAAATCGGTGTAACCCTCCCCCCCCCCCCCCCCCCCCCCCCCCCTTTCTCACACGTTCATACAACATTTTATTGTTTTTTTTTTTGTATTTTTGTTTTTGCGGTTCGCGGGCCTCTCACTGTCGTGGCCTCTCCCGTTGCGGAGCACAGGCTCCGGATGCGCAGGCTCAGCGGCCATGGCTCACGGGCCCAGCCGCTCCGCGGCATGTGGGATCCTCCCGGACCGAGGCACGAACCCGTGTTCCCTGCATCGGCAGGCAGACTCTCAACCACTGCGCCACCAGGGAAGCCCTATAGTGATTTTTGGTTTCGTGAGTTACAGAAATGACTCCACGCATGCGTATTTAACAGCAGCTTGCTCTTTCTCTCGACTTTATTTCTAAGATTTATTGGTGTCAGTACATCTCAGTGCAGCCCCTTCTACCTTCTGTAAAGTGCCCTGTCGGCTAGTGCCCCCTTCATCCCTGCAGGCCCCGCTGAGGGATGTTTGAATAGTCACCAGTTTCCTGCTCTTACCAGGAACTGTCCTTGCGCGGGGTTCCAGCGCACGCGTTGGAGGGTGTAGGGTGCATGCCCGGTGGGATCACGGGCGTAGGAAATGCGCTGTGACCGCTCAGGGTATGCTGCCTGTTTAGGGTCCCGGTTGTACTTCTTTGCCCTCCTGACAGCAACCCTGAGAATTCGCGCTTCTCCACATCACCCTTGCATAGTCAGGGGCCCAGTTCCTGATTATAGGGATGGAGACTATCTAGAATGCTTATCTGGTCAGCACTTAGGTCATTTTCCTATTCCCATTTCTTCACTTATGTCGTTCTGTTGTGTTTAAATTCTTTTTCTTGTTGATCCCCAAACCTTTTTTTTTTAAGGTCTTTTGAATAACTCTGCGTAGTTTCGTGCACTGTAAACCTCACAGGCTGGGGTCTGTATCTTACCCTTTCCCTTCATGTAGGGTGTCTTGTTGTGTACCCCGGGTGTTCACCTCTTGCCGTCCAGTTTGTACTTTGGTTACCCAACACTTGAGAGACCCTTCCTCAAACAGATGGCAGTCTAGTCTCCCAAATATTCTTCTAATGATTTTGAAGTGTTTGTTTTCCACCTTCAGTGTGCAACTCATTTTGCATACGGAATGAGGTGCCCTATAATTTCATTTGTCTCCAGATGGACAGTCAGTATCATTGATGGACTGGTCCATCTTTTCCCACTGATTTGAAATGCCACCTCTGGCCTCTGTTAAGTCTCCCTATGTGTGTGGCTCTATTTCTGGGCTTGCCTGCAATGGTCTGTCCTATTGGTCTCTCTGTCACAGAACCTATAGCTCATGGTTTTAGTTACCCACACTTATGTGTCTTATCATCTCCTTTTTCTTCTTGATCTAAGCTGGGTGCTGAGATGAGCATCTCATGTGCCTTTGCCCACTGACTCTTCTCGATGCCCTGAGGAGGCAGGTGCTGCCCCCATTCGACAGACGGGGGCGTCGAGGCTCAGAATGGTTAAGAAGCTTTCCCTGCAGGAGGGAGAGAGCTGATTCTAGAACTTTGGTGGTTCAGCTTCAACGCCCAACCCTCAGCGCTGCGCTGAGGTTATAAGCCGACGGAGAGGAGAACTTGGGTATTGTGTGGTGCTGGTGTCGTCACAGCTGGCTCTGGGTAGTGGCGAGTTGGGGGATCAGGACCCCGTAATTTCTTGCTACGTGTAACCGACGACTGCTGTCCGCGTTGGGATGCGTCTCCCGGTTGCTGGGATAGACGAGGAGCACAGACTCTGCCTCCAGGGAGCCCCCAGAGCCTTCCGCATCCCTGCCGCGTGAAGCAGCCACGTACAGCCTCTGGGACAGGAGCTCCTCTTAACGTTTATTCCCTTCCTCTGATTTCACAGTTAAACGGAAAGAATCAGACGCGGGGAGGAAAAGCCAGAGGAGGAGGGAGAAATCTCGCATGGAGACAGACTCCAGGCTGGCAGGCCACGGGAAGCAGGGCACGTTCGCCATGCAGCTGGCGGTGATGCCGCTCCTCGCAGGTAGCCACACCCGTTCCCAGCAGCGTCCGGTCTCCTTGACCCGTGTGGCTAGAATGCCGGTAAACAGGACACTCGCAGTGGCCGAGCCCCTGCCCTACGCTCTCAGCCACCCCCGCCAAGTGGGCGTGTCTCCACTATACAGAGCGGGAAATGGAGGCGCAGCGAGGTCAAACGCGTCGGCCAAGATGACGCAGCGAGTAAGAGAAGCCTGGGTTTGAACCCAGGTCTGATTCCAAAGTCCAAGCAAATGTGAGAATAAGAAACGTCATGGGCTTCCCTGGTGGCGCAGTGGTTGAGAGTCCGCCTGCCGATGCAGGAGACACAGGATCGTGCCCCGGTCCGGGAAGATCCCACATGCCGCGGAGCGGCTGGGCCTGTGAGCCATGGCCGCTGAGCCTGCGCGTCCGGAGCCTGTGCTCCGCAACGGGAGGGGCCACGACAGTGAGAGGCCCGCGTACCGCAAAAAAAAAAAAAAAAAAGAAACGTCATGGTTTTGTTTGCTACATAAGATGCTACTTGGTATAAACACGTTCCTGCAGATTTTTACAAAGACGTCTAGTAAAGGAAATGAGGAAAGGCGACCAGTATTTATGCCCTATCATTTACTTCTCACGGCCAACTCTGATCTTCCCAGTGAACTGGTGCTGGTGGTATAGGGCGTGGTTATCATTGTCACGATTTTTTCAGGGAGGAATCAAAACTCAGAGAAGTGAAGCAGCTAAACCTGAAGGCACACAGCTCAGTGGCAGAACAGGGGTTTGCTTCATTTGCTTTGTAAGATCTGTCACCGTTTATAAACTCAGTTTGATAAAGAATAAGTAGGTATTTATTATGTCCATATGTTTAGATAATGGAAGGCTCAGAATATATTTTGGGTAAAGTTATGTGACTTTATTTTAAAAAGGGAATATGGGGGGAACCCTCTTCTTTTTAGAGAAAATAATTTCACATGTTTCATTGTGGGGTTTTTGGCCATCAGGGTGAACGAGTGCCCCCTTCTGGCCTATCTGGAGAAACTTAGGCAGACACGGAGGGTCAGTGAAACCCCATAGGGTCAGAGTCCAGTGCCGGGGGTGCCGGGAAAATCCTTATTTCCACAAGCACTTGGGTTGATGTCGATATGTTTTGAGGAACTATTAACTTTTTTGTCCACATGTTTAGATGGATTTTTGAAAATTAGTTTCACCCAAAGTGAGTTTTCAGAGACTCTTACCCACTGCTGAGCCGTGTCCGGGAGGACCGGGCCTTTCACGCAGCGGCCACGTGGCCCCGCCTGGGACAGTGACTTTGGTTCATGCTTCTTTGGTCTTGAACGCAGAAGCAGCCGGTGCTGCTCCAGGTGGGCGGGCCCCAGGGGACCTGCCTGACCTGCTCCTTACTTTGCTGTGAGGGGAGGGAGATGCTGACTGGTCCTGGTGTGCCCGGTGTGACCATTTCCAGCAGGTGAAGCCAAGAGGTGCCTGGGCCTCCGCCCCGTTTAACTTGTGCCGCCACGGCCCTGTACAGTGACAGTTATTGCAAGAGTGACAAACAGACTTTGAATCCTGGCTCAGCCCTTTACCAGCAGGTCGCCTGCTTTCTGTGAGTCTCAGTTTCCTCATCTGTAAAATGGGGACAGTAACTCCCACCCCAGGGGGCTGTAGGAAGGATCACGAGAGATAATGTGTGTAAACAGCTTGGTGGGGAGCCCTGCGCACGGCAGAGCTCAGGCAGGTTACTGGTGAGGAGGTGGCAGCTGCCTCGCCCGGACATCTGGGTGGGCTGCGTGTAGGGCCCTGGGCCTCCGGCAAGGGGGGCAGAAAGATCCCTGCTCCCTGGCCCTGAGGCCACGGCTTGTGGTCATGACTGCAAGTGGCTGTGGTGCAGCAGGCCAATTGTAGGTTTCTTTCTGCCATAAAATAGAATAGCATAAGATTATTCCACAACTAGAATGATTATTTTTAGTCATCTTCAATTTAATTTTTGTAAAATAAATTATTTTGTTGTGTTTATTTTTGGCTGCGTTGGGTCTCCGTTGCTGCGCGCGGGCATTCTCTAGTTGCGGCGAGCGGGGGCTACTCTTTGTTGCGGTGCACGGGCCTCTCATTGCGGTGGCTTCTCTTGTTGCAGAGCATGGGCTCTAGGCGTGTGGGCTTCAGTAGTTGCGGCACGTGGGTTCAGTAGTTGTGGCGCGCAGGCTCAGTAGTTGTGATGCACGGGCTTCGTTGCTCCATAGCATGTGGGATCTTCCTGGACCAGGGCTCGAACCCATGTCTCCTGCATTGGCAGGCGGATTCTCAACCACTGCACTGCCAGGGAAGCCCCATCTTCAATTTAAGATTAGGCCGCAGACTTTGCATACCTTAGTGGTAAATATTGTTGGCCAGTAAGTGTCTAGAAAGGTTCTGTGTTTGGAGTGAACTCTTATGTTTACTTCACAGAGGAGGGGCCACACTTTTAGCCACGCAGGACTGGTTTCAACACTGGTTCTGCTGCATATTGGCCAAGAGTCCTTGGACGATCACTTGACATCCCTGGACCTATCGTGTTCAAGTTCGGCAGCTGTAGGTGCACAGACCCTGTGGGGGCCACTTGCCCTTGCCTTGTTCCTTACGTGGGACAGTGGTTCTCACCTTGGGCACTTATGCCCCCGGGGACACTTGGCACTCTGTGAGGCATCTTTGGGTGTCACAGGTGGGAGTGGGACGCTGCTGAATGTCCCATGATGCACAGGGTGGTCCTCATGACGAATAATTATCAGTCCTCAAGTGTCAGTAGTGCTGAGGTTTAGATCCCTGCCCTGGATCATGGCTGACATCACCTGAGATTTCTGAATGTTGATATGAGTAGGTGTTTGCACTAGAGAGTCTTTCTAAACTGGACAAACTTCTATGAAAAGGCTGGCAAAGTTCTAGAACACAAATCAGAATTGGCTATGGTCTTAATGAGTTGGTTTTGAAGAAAGTCACAGGGAGAAGTGGGGGGTCCCCAGGAGGTGCCCACGGCCCAGGCAGACAGGGTACACCTCGGGCCCAGGACTTGTTCTGGAAGCAACTGCTCTTTCTGAGTGTGAGTGATGGGGCTCTCTCATGCCTTAAAAATATATTTACCAGCATCATGAAAGAAATAGAATTGGTCTTTTTGAGCGCAGACCCTGTGCTAGGAGGGGCAGTGTTCCTGACACCTTCCTGTACATAATCCCTCTTCATCCTCTTAACCCTAAGAAAGGTGGTATCTGTCCATTTTGCACACGAGGAAATCGAGCCTCAAAGAGCCTCTGACTTGTTGTAGGTCACATGATGCCTAACAGTCGGATTTAGGGTTTGAAAAATCTGCTTGCAAATCGGGAGCATTTTTTTTTTTTGGCCTTCGTCAGCGTCTCTCCACCTGGTGAAATGTATGGGCCCCTTTTGCGAGAAAAGTATTCTCACAGCTGCGCACGTGCCCTGCAGTGGTCAAGTCACCCACCCTCTTCTGCAGTCGCACTGTTGCACAACTGTCACAGCAGGAGGTGTTCCAGGCTGGATTTGGCTCGAATGTACCACTTGTGTTCTATGTCAGTACCTACGCTTCCCTCCCTGGATTACAGCGGTGAAAGTGACGCCGCTGGGCACCAAACACAGACACTGGTGTTATTTGTTCCTGAATGTGTTCTAGTCTAAGAGAACTGCCTGGAGAAGTGCTCCAGAGCTTTCTGCAGTGAAGGACTTGTTCCGTGTCTGCTCATAGCCGCATATGGCTGCTGAGCGTGTGACGTGGGACTCATGTGATGAAGGAAGTGCCTCTTAATTAATTAATTAGTTAATTTATTGGCCATGCTGTGCGGCATGTGGGATCTTAGTTCCCCGACCAGGGATAGAACCTGTGCCCCCTGCAGTGGAAGCGCGGAGTCTTAAGCACTGGACCAACAGCGAAGTCTGAAGGAAGTGCATTTTAAATTATATTTAATTTTAATTAATTTAAACATAAATATCCACATACGGCCAGTAACTATGGGACTCGCAGCGCAAGTCTGGTGGTTCTGGAATTACTTGGAGAGATTTTAAAAATCCCAGTGTGGAGGCTACAGCCCAGACCAAGCCCATGAGACTGGGGGTGGGACCCAAGCGTCATTGTTCCTGATTATAGCCTATAGATGATTCAGGAAATGCTTATTTCACAAGGTGATCATCAATATTAAATCACAAAGTGAAATTCTCTTAGAGAACCTATGGGACCCCAGTTGAAAAAGTGGTGCAGACATACTGCCTGTAGATGTTTCCCAATTATTATTTTTTAAAGTTTTCCTCTTTTCGGTGTAATTTTATCTTTGGCTCTCAGGTTGCCTGATCCCTCCTGTGCTGGTTTCGGGGCCATTCTGAATAACATTCTAACGCTGTGTGTATCTCCCTGCAGGATGGCAAACTGTCGTGAGTCATGGCAGTGGGAGGTCGGCCAACGTCTTAGATTGTTTTTTGACCCTAAAAACAGAAGTTCCCCTCATGACTGAAGAGCAAAAGCGGGACTTAAACCCCCTGACCATAGAGATCAAGTGTGTTTCCTGCCTTCCATCACGGTCTGTGTCCTTCAGTGAACTAGAGGTAAGAGTGAGCCAGGCCAGCTGGTTTGAGAGGTGCTTTTCCCAGCCATCTGCCCATCGCCTGTCGCCCCTCACCCACAGTGGCCCTACATGAGAAGTATGATCATCAACCCCATATCCTCATTTAGGATCTCACAGCCAGACGGCAAAGAGATTAGGTTCCTGGGATCAGGAGTTACCAAGTGTGAGGTCTCCTCTGCTACACCACAGGGTTCTTCAGGTGCAGGTAGCGACCCTCCACTCAGGAGGAGCCCTATGCTTCCTTGTTACAGCAGCAGTGCTTGCCTAGTCCTCACTTATTTTGAACCAGCCAGTTTAGTGCTGCTGTTTACCTTGGGAGTCCCCTGTTCCTCTCCTGGTGGGTCCCTGTCCCTGGATTCTGTGTCTTGCTCTTGCTTTGTTTCCTCTTTGATTTTGCTGGAGCACATCCTCCTGTAGCTTTCTGAGAAGAGGTTAATGGGAGATGCTTGTTTTATGATCTCTTATGTCTGAAAATATCCTTATTCTACCCTTATACTTGATTGATAGTTAGGGTATAGAATTGTAGGTTAAAAAATCATTTTCCTTCAGTTTAAAAGATTTTTATTGGAGTATAGTTGATTTACAATGTTGTGTTAGTTTCAGGTACACAGTAAAGTGAATCAGTTATACATATACACATATCCACCCTTTTTACATTCTTTTCCTATATAGATAATTACAGAGTATTGAGTAGAATTCCCTGTGCTACACAGTAGCTCCTTGTTAGTTATCTATTTTATATATAGTGGTGTGATCTCCCAATCCCAGTCTCCCAATTTATCCCTCCCCCATCTCCCCTGGTAACAATAAGTTTGTTTTCTACATCTGTGACTCTGTTTCTGTTTTGTAAATAAGTTCATTTGTACCATTTTTTTAGATTCCACATATAAGTAATATCGTATGATATTTGTCCTTCTCCGTCTGACTTACTTCACTTAGGATAATTTCTAGGTCCATCCATGTTGCTGCAAATGGCATTATTTCATTCTGTTTAATGGCTGAGTAATATTCCATTGTGTATATGTACCACAACTTCTTTATCCACTCCTGGATAAATTATCTATCCATTGATGGACAGTTAGGTTTCTTCCATGTCCTAGTTGTTGTAAACAGAGCTGCAATGAACACTGGGGTACGTGTATCTTTTTTTTATGTATATAAATGTATTTATTTATTTATTTATTTTTGGCTGCATTGGGTCTTTGTTACTGCATGCGGGCTTTTCTCTAGTTGCGGCAAGCGGGGGCTATTCTTCATTGCGGTGTGCAGGCTTCTCATTGCGGTGGCATCTCTTGTTGTGGAGCATGGGCTCTAGGTGCATGGGCTTCAGTAGCTGTGGCACGTGGGCTCAGTAGTTGTGACTCGTGGGCTCTAGAGTGCAGGCTCAGTAGTTGTGGCGCACGGGCTTAGTTGCTCCGTGGCATGTGAGATCTTCCTGGACCAGGGCTCTAACCCATGTCCCCTGCATTGGCAGGTGGATTCTTAACCACTGTGCCACCAGGGAAGCCCCATGTATCTTTTTGAATTACGGTTTTCTCCGGATATATGCCCAGTAGTGGGATTGCTGGGTCATATGGTACTTTATTTTTGGTTTTTTAAGGAACCTCCGTAGTGTTCTCCATAGTGGCTGCACCAATTTATATTCTCACCACCAGTGTAGGAGGGTTCCCTTTTCTCCACACCCTCTCCAGCATTTATTGTTTGCAGATTTTTTTGATGATGGCCATTCTGACTGGTGTGAGGTGATACCTCATTGTAGTTTTGATTTGCATTTCTCTGATAATTAGAGATGTTCAACATCTTTTCACGTGCTTTTTGGACATCTGTATGTATTCTTTAGAGAATTGTCTGTTTGGATCTTCTGTCCATTTTTTTTTTTTTTTTTTTTTTTTTGCGGTACGAGGGCCCCTCACTGTTGTGGCCTTTCCCATTGTGGAGCACAGGCTCTGGATGCGCAGGCTCAGCAGCCATGGCTCATGGGCCTAGCCGCTCTGTGGCATGTGGGATCTTCCTGGACCAGGGCACGAACCCGTGTCCCCTGCATCGGCAGGCGGACTCTCAACCACTGCGCCACCAGGGAAGCCCTCTTCTGTCCATTTTTTAATTGCGTTGTTTGTTTTTTTGATATTGAGCTGTGTGAGCTGTTTGTATATTTTGGAGATTAATCCTTTGTTGGTCTCTTCATTTGCGAATATTTTCTCCCATTCTGTGGGTTGTCTTTTTGTTTTGTGTTTGGTTCCCTTTGCTGTGCAAAAGCTTTTAAGTTTAATTAGGCTCCATTTGTTTATTTTTTGTTTTTATTTTCATTACTCTAGGAGGTGGATCCAAAAAGATATTGCTGCAATTTATGTCAGAGAGTGTTCTGCCTATGTTTTCCTCTAAGAGTTTAATAGTATCCGGTCTTACATTTAGGTCTTTAATGCATTTTGAGTTTATTTTTGTGTATGGTGTTAAGGAGTGTTCTAATTTCATTCTTTTACATGTAGTTGTCCAGTTTTTCCAGCACCACTTATTGAAGAGGCTGTTTTTTCTCCATTTTATATCCTTGCCTCCTTTGTCACAGATTAGGTGACCATAGGTGCATGGGTTTATTTCTGGGCCTTCTATCCCGATCCATTGATCTATATTTCTGTTTTTGTGCCAGTACCATTCTGTTTTGATTACTGTAGCTTTGTAGTATGGTCTGAAGTCAGGGAGTGTGATTCCTCCAGCTCCGTTTTTCTTTCTCAAGATTGCTTTGGCTATTTGGGGTGTTTTGTGTTTTGATACCAATTTAAAAATTTTTTGTTCTAGTTCTGTGAAAAATGCCATTGGTAATTTAATAGGGATTGTATTGAATCTAGATTGCCAAGGTGACTATCTATAAAAAGGTCTGCCTGAAAAGCTGGCCCTTGGCAGGTGTCTAGGAACTTTAATCATTCTCTAATGAGAGTGGTTCCTGGGCCTGACTGTTTCTGCCAACAGTGCTGACCGTGCTTTCCTCCAGGGTGCCTGGCGTATTGGGACACAGGCTGGGGGAGCCTAATACCAGCCCCAGTCAAAACCCTGCGTGCTATGTCTCCAGTGAGCTCCCTGGTGGACAGTACATCACCTGAGTTGTCACAGTCAGTTGTGCAGGAGCTCAATGCATCCTGGGACACACAGTAGGAGGCCATGGGGAGATGGCGCCTGTCCCCCTGCTTTGCCTCGCAGCCCTTTTCCCTTTGCAGGCTTTGCCTGGTCTCCTCTGACCTTTATGAAGCCCAGCTGTGGGTCCCACCACAGCTGAGTCCTGAGGTTCTCCTAGAGAATCACGGATCTGGGGGTGGCCCCGGGGCCGCCGACTCAGCAGTGTTTTCCTGCTTTGCGGGTCACTGTCCCTGTTTGTACAGTCCTTGTTTCCTCAAGTTGGTTTTTCTGTTTGTTTGGTCTCCATCGTCACATCTGTCTCAATCCCCTGGTTCGCTGCCCATAGGTAAGAGTGGGGGCCTCAAAAGCAGCCTTGGGTGCCGAGCGGGCTTGTGGGTTCTGAGCCTCATGCTGCGGTGGCCTGGGTGGGCTGGTGGTGGGGAGACCTCAAGTTCGATCTCTGGAGGTCTCTCCCAGTTGCCCGCCTGGAGGGTAAGGGTCTGGTAGCCAAGGGATGAAAAGGACGTGGGGTCTGCATTGGATGGTCCGTGAGCATCTGGTCACCTAATACATCTGGTTTGGATAGGAACTGAATGCCATCAGCTGTCCCTCATTCCAGAGACCCTCTGGTTTTTTAATTTTTAAAATAGCAAGCAGAAAAGTAAAAATATCCTACAGAATCGACTCTTTTCTCTTGGTGTACAGTTCTGTACATTTCAGTTCATGTGCGCATCAGTGAGGATACAGAACACCTCTATGACCGCACCCCCCACACTCTTTTGTACTAGCCCTTTATGACCACATCTTCCCCACCCGCACTCGCGGCAACCGCAGATGTGTTCGTCGTGATAGTTTTAACTTTTGAAGATTGTCGTCCAGATGGGGTTATATATTGTGTAACATCCACACTAACAACCTCTGCTGCAGCAGGGAACAACACGTACAGCCTCCTTCCCTCAGAACGATGCCGGCGAGATTCCCGCAAGCTAGAATTCATCCCTTTTTGCTGCTGAGTCGTATTCTGCAGCTGGATGGAACCGCAGTCTGTCCGTCCGTTAACCCATGGAGGATGTTTAGGTTGTTTCTGGTTTGGGGCAGTTACGAATACAGCTGCTAAAACATCTGTGTACGTGCTTTTGTGTGAACATAAGCCTTCAGTGCTTTAGGATAAATGCCCACAGTTCTTTAGGATAAATTCCCGGGCTCTGTGGAGAGGCTATGGCTGCCTTCTCAGCAGCGGTGTGCGGGGGCTCCAGCTGTGCTTATCCTCCCCAGAACTTGGTATCATCAGTGTTTTATTTTTAATTTTGGCCACTCTAATGAGTATGCAGTGTTATCTCATCGGGGTTTACCATGCATTTCCCTGATGCGGAGTGATGTGGCGCATCTCTTAATCTGCTTATCTGCCACTTTATGGCCCCTTTGGTGAAGTGTCAATTCAAGTTTTTGCCCACATTTCAACTGAGTTCTTTTTTTTAAATAAATTTATTTATTTTTGGCTGCATTGGGTTTTCGTTGCTGTGCACGGGCTTTCTCTAGTTGCGGCGAGTGGGGACTACTCTTCGTTGCAGTGCGTGGGCTTCTCGTTGCGGTGGCTTCTCTTGTTGCAGATCGTAGGCGTCCGTAGTTGTGGCTCACGGGTTCCAGAGCGCAGGTTCAGTAGTTGTGGCGCACGGGCTTAGTTGCTCCGCGGCATGTGGGATCTTCCCGGACCAGGGCCCGAACCCGTGTTCCCTGCATTGGCAGGCAGATTCCTAACCACTGCACCACCAGAGAAGTTCTCAACTGAGTACTTAGTTTTCCTGTTGTTGAGTTGAGAGTTTTTAAATCTATTCTGGATACAAGTCCGCTTTTGGATATATTCTTTGCAGATATTTTCTCCCAGTCTATAGTCTGCCTTTTTATTCTCTTATTTTAATTTTGATGAAGTCCAAATTATACATTTTTGTCTTCTATGGATTGTGTTTTTGTGTCACATCTAAGAACTCTTTGCCTAACCCCTGGTGACAGGGGTTTTCTTCTATGTTTATAGTTTTACATTTGGATCTATAATCAATTTTGAGTTAATTTATGTATAAGGTTTAAGTTAATGTTCATTTTTTTTTGCAAACACATGACTAATTGTTCCAGCACCATTTGTGGAAAAGACTTTTTTTTCCATTGAATTTCTTTTGCATTTCTGACAAAAATCAGTTGGCTGTACTGGTAGAGGTCTATTTCTGGATCCTTTATTCTTCTTTTTCAAAATTGTGTTAGCTCTTCCAGTTTCTTTGCCCTTTCATATAAATTTTATTTATTTATTTATTTTTTTCATATAAATTTTAGAATCAGCTTGTCTCCATCTACAAAAACTTGTGCTAGGATTTTGCCTGGCTTTGCACTAAATCCATAGATCAGTCTGGGGAGAACTGACGTCTTACTGTGTTGAGACTTCAACCCCTGAATTCAGTGTGCCTCTCCATTAGTTTAGGTCTCCTCTTTTCTCTCTCATCAGTGTTTTGAAGCTCTCAGGACCCTTTATTCATCTGCCTGCACAACAAACTAACAGCCTCCCGCCAAGCAGTAGGGGAGGGGAGGGGAGGGCACTTGGGCCGGCTGGCTTCTCGGGACTCGCAACAGTTCCCTTGCTGGGCTCTTTGCTGTGACCCCCAGATCCAGAGATGCTGGGTCCTGCCAGTTCCTAAGTCTTTTGAGGATTTTGCAGAGAATGTGGCTGGTTCTCAGCTTCTCCATTACGTGCTTGGGGTTTGGCTTCCTCACCTGTGCTGTGTCTGCACCACTTGCTCGTCCCTGTCCCGGCACTCATGCTGGCTTCTCTTCTCTTCTCCTTGTCCTTGTATGTTTATGTCTTAAAAAAAAATTCCCTGTGGTTTTTGGGGAGTTCGATGAGGGGTGTAACCAGATGTATGTGTTCAGTCTGCCACTTGAACCGCATGACGTGATGTTTAGTTCATGTCCCCAGTGGGCTGAAGTCGTCCGCACAAGGGACCATGGTGTCAGCGTCCCCAGCGCCTAGCCCGGGGCCTGGTACAAACAGGAGCTCAGTGACCATCATTCGAGCATGAGAGCCAAGGAACAGGACATTTTGATACACTGTTTGTATCACAGTTCATCTGTTCAAAGAGGATTCCCCTCACTCAGATTTTCAGTTGCCTGCCCAGCTGCTGCCACTGCAAACAGATTACAGGTTGGGAACTTGAACTTGCCAGAGGGCAGGTCCAGGAGAGAAAAGCAATAGGGGGTTTCCTTCCACTCTCTCTGTCTCATAGGGTTCCCACACCCCATTCCTTGGAACAGAAAGAGAGCTCTGTCTCTCCATGCCTGGTGCAGAATTCTGGGATTCAGGCTTCCTTTGCGTCTAGTCTGGGACATGCAGGAAGAGAATAAAACCCAGGAAACTCACTGGGTTTGGTCTCTTTCTCCAGTCTGCCCACTGCCTTTTACTTTTCAGAAGGTGTTCTCTGCATCTCTGTAGGGTTTTTTTTCCTCTAATATTTATTTATTTATTTAGGCTGCGCCAGATCTTAGTTGCAGCACATGGGACCTTCGTTGTGGCACGCAGGCTGCTTAGTTGCGGCATGCAGACTCTTAGTTGAAGCATGCCTTCTGTTGTATTCAGTGGGAGGGGCAGGGTGGGTGTGCTTATTCCGTTTAACCAGATTTGAAAGCTCCTCTTTTATTTTTCTTTACAATGTCTATTCTTTTTATTGATATATTGTGGATACGAGTCCTTTGTCAGATATGTATGCATTGTACATATTTTCTGCCCATCTGGAGCTTGACTTTAATTTTCTTAATAGTGTCTTTGATGAAGTCCAGCTTATCAACTTCTGTTATGATTAGTGCTTTTTGTGTCATATCAAATAAATCTTTTTTCCACCCCAAGTTTATGAAGATACTACCCTGTGTTTTCTTCTAGGAGAGGTATGATTTTAGCTTTTATGTTTAGGTCTATGATTCCTCAAGAACTAATTGCATTTTCCTAACCATAAAAATGGTATATTTCTTCCTTTAGATTTCTTTAATTTCTCTCTGCAGTGTTTTGTAGTTTTCAGTGTACAGGTCTTCCACATCTTTCATTTCTTCCTAAGCATTTTATGTCTTGATGCTGTTGTAGGTGATATTTTAAAATTTTCAGTTTTAGAATTTTCATTGCCAGTAAATAGAATTATGATAGTTTTGACCTTGATGATATACTTTTACTTTTTAAAAACCAAACAAATAGATTTATTTTATGTACCTGATCATTCTAATACCTGTGCCTTTGTACATCTGGTTTTGCTAGTGGTACCTTTTTCCCTTAGGTGTTTTGTGATTTTTACTATGATCCCATGTTTGATGGAACTTTCTCTGTGGGAATTCTTTGAGGCCTAGGTTGGAAGTGGATTTCTCCAGAAGGTTTTCTTAATTATTTCTGCCAGGTACCTGGGAGCCCTACCAACCCAGGATTATTTTTAAATAAAATTTCAGCATCAGTGGTAAAAGAAATAGTAAAATAAATAGCACCCTTGGAGTATGCATTCGAACCACACACTTGTGTAACGGTGAGCTTCTGATGATAAAGTTGTAGCATGCGCAAGGTTTCCTGTTTCTGTCCCGACACAGCCCTGCCCCCCGCCTGCAGCTCAGCCTGCGAGTCCTCTTAAACCCAGACCCAAGTTCTGCTTGGTCACTTTATATGCTAAAGGTGAGCCGTGCCAGCCCTCCAGATGCGTGTCTGGGAAACACGGATTCTCTGTTCTAAAAGCCACTCCTCTCCACACTTTCTGTGCCCGGCCATGGGACGGGAGGAAGGCACAGGGCCTGTCCTCGTGGCACTGGCCATCCGGGGGAAGTAGTTGCTTCAGCTGCCAGCTCAGTGCCGTACACGTGGCTCTCGGGCCTCGCAGTGGCCTTGCAGAGTGGGCCCTGTCCTTGGGGTTTGTGAATGAGGAACCACAGGCCGCAGGGGCTGCAGGGGCTGCCGGGCGTGAGCCTGGGGCCGGGATTTGAGCCGCTGGGTGGGGGCCACCTGGAGAGGAGGGGGGCCGGCAGGGGGTGCCCGCGGCTGCACCCATGACCGCCGCCCCTGCTCTCTCGCAGCGGCTGTGCACCCCCGTGTACTGCAGGTACCAGTTCTACAGGACCCCAGTGCACAGGACTGAGGGCCAGCCCCATGGGACCCACGTCTACTTCCAGGATATCAACGTCATCTTCCTTGGGGCCATGCACCCCAGCGACCTGAGGGAATACCTGGAGGGCCCCCCGATGGTGGTGGAAGTTCATGACCGGGACCGCAAGTCAGAGGGGTATTCCCGCAAGCCCGCCCTGTTTGGGGAGGACCCGCTGGATTCATACCTCAACCTCCAGACCCTAATTTCCCCGAAAGAGACGGAGAACAACCCCTTTGAAACCCAGGATAAGATGTGGGACCCTTACGGGGTTGCCCAGGTCAGCTTTGCCGACCTCCTCCTTGGCCAGAAGTACTTGAACCTGGTTGTCCCCGTCCACAGCTGCGAGCCCAAGGCCACGCGCCTCGGCCATGACAGCAGGAGCAGGAAGGCGGTGGGGTTGCGGGTGCCCGGAGACGGCCTGCGGCACAGCCCGATGCCCCCGGGCGACTACCTGGAGGCCAGCTGCCTGCTGAAGCTGCGGGCGGGCGTGGCGGTGCCGCTGTGGGCCGGGACCGAGGCCCTGGACGCCCACCCCACGGCCTCCCAGTTTGGCCGCGTCATCTTCGTGTTCACCTCCAGTAAGCTCTCACTCCTGCACGGCCTGCTGCAGGACGTCGCCGTGATCAACGCCGGGGCCCTGGGCCTGGACTCCTGCCCCGTGGAGGATATCCAGCAGATCCTGTCCGCCTTGAAGATGCCGGCGAAGATCCAGGAGCGGCCGGACCTGGACGTGCTCACTGGCTTCCACCTGCTGGACGGGCGGGGCCACCTCCTCATCCTGGAGGGCTTGGCCGACCGGGGCCTGAGGCGGCTGTGGGAGAGCCACCAGAGCCGGTAGGTAGGTCTCCGCGTTTCTGGGTGGGGAGGGGTGGCCAAGCTCAGGTTCTGTGACGCCGACTGTGGGAGGGACCTGTTGATTTGGTGCCTCTTGGGGTTCGTATAAGGCACTTCGCAGAGCTCAGCAGCTGGGAGAGCCGCTTGCCTTTGGTTGAAGCGAAGACTTCATGGGTATATGGAAGGGAGGCTGGTTCAGGAAACTGGGTCCTGCCTTCACACTCCCGAGGCGCCCCCCTGGCCAGCGGGGAGCAGAGTGTTCTCCCCGGCCCTGAGAGGGACACCACAAGGACACAGACGTCAGCTCGTCCCGAGGGAGACAGGGTGGATTATTGTGAGGCTGGAGGGCTGCTTACGCTGCAGAAGTCCCCTTCCCTGGAGGCCAGGAGCCCCCGATGGCCGCCCCCTGGAGATGTTGCAGAGGCAACGGAAGTGTCCCCTTCTGGGCCGCAGCAGGTGGCCCCTCGTGGTCTTCCGTTCTTTAGTTGTGGTGATGGGATAACTCCCTTTTTCTTTCATGATTTGCAGCTATCCTAGTTTGGATCAATAGGGCCTTCCTTCTCTGCTCTGGAGGCCCCCTATCTGTTCTCAGAGCTCAGATGCCCCATGACTCAGATGCTGACAACAGCAGGGTGTCCGGATGTTGACTGTGTCCACCCGGGGGGGGGCTGTCTTGATGTGCTGATGGCCAAGAGCACGGGGGCAGGGGAGGCGGGGAGGCCGCCTCGTGGCTGGTTATCCTCCCAGGAGGCCTGAAAGCATGCATACACACAAAAACGTGCACATGGATGTTCATAGCACCGTTATTTATAATAATCGGAAAGTGAAACGACTCAAATGTCCATCAGCTGATGAACAAAACATCCATACCATGGAATAATATTCAGCTGTCAAAAAGGAATGAAGTATTGATACAGATACTTCAACACGGATGAACCTTAAAAACGTTATGCTAGGGGACTTCCCTGGTGGCGCAGTGGGTAAGACTCATGCTCCCAATACAGAGGGCCCAGGTTTGATCTGTGGTCCGGGAACTAGATCCCTCATGCATGCCGCAACTAAGAGTTCGCATACCACAGCTAAGGAGCCGGTGAGCTGCAGCTAAGAAGCCCGCCTGCCGCAACTAAGGAGCCCGTGAGCCGCAACTAAGGAGCCTGCGAGCTGCAACTAAGGAGCCCGCCTGCCTCAACTGAGATGTGGCTCAACCAAAACAAACAAACAAACAAAAACTCATTATGCTAAGCGACCTGGAGGGCATGTGCTAAGTGAGATAAGTCAGACAGAGAAAGACAAACACTGTATGTTATCACCTACATGTGGAATCTACAAAATAAACTAGTGAATACAACACAAAAGAAACAGACTCACAGAGAGGACAAACTAGTGGTTACCAGTGGGGAGAGGGAAGGGGGGAGGGGCAAGATAGGGGTAGGGGAGGAAGAGGTACAGACTATTGCATATAAAATAAATAAGCTACAAAGATCTATTGTACAGCACAGTGTAATATTTTGTAGTAACTATAAATGGAGCATAATCTATAACAATTTTGAATCAGTATGTTGTACACCTAAAACTAATATTGTAATCAACTATGCCTCAATTAAAAATTATGCTAATAGGGACTTCCCTGGTGGCACAGTGGTTAAGAATCTGCCTGTCAGTGCAGGGGACGCAGGTTCAATCCCTGGTCCAGGAAGATCCCACATGTCGCACAGCAACTTAGCCCGTGCGCCACGACTACTGAAGCCCCCACGCCTAGAGCCCGTGCTCCGCAACAAGAGAAGCCACCACAGTGAGAAGCCCGCACACTACAAAGAAGAGTAGCCCCCGCTCGCTGCAACTAGAGAAAGCCAGCGTGCAGCAACAAAGACCCACCGCAGCCAAAAATAAATAAATAAATTTAAATGTTATGCTAATAAAAGGAGCCAGACATAAAAGGCTACCTATTATATGATTCCATTCATATGAAATGTCTAGAATAGTCAAGTCCATAGAGATAGATCAGTGGTTTCCAAGGTCCGAGAGGAGGGATGCAGGAGAAGTGGGGAGTGATAAAAATGTTCTAGGATTAGACAGTGTTTGTGGTTGCACAACATTGGGAGTATACTAAAACCACTGAATTGTACACTTACTTTGGGGGGGGTATACTATTTTATTCAAATTTAAATTTCACCATCAAATACTGAAGTATATGCTGGCCCTGTGTTTAGATTTTTGAAATAAAGGTGGACAGACAGATTTAAGGGTGCAATGTATTAAACACTGTACCATATATTAAACAATTAGAGAAAATCTAGGGGTGCTATAACTCTATATACCTTTGTACATTGAGTGGCGTTAAGTATAGGGACAAGCCCAGCACCTGGAGGAAGAGCCCATTGAGGACTGAACAGAGGCCCTTGGCTGCTGTCAGAATCTCCCCTTGACTTTCAACAAACCAAGGAGTCTGTCCGTCTACAGAAACCACCAAATCCGGGGCAAACAGCAACAGGATAAATGCTAAGGAATTGGCTCTTTCCAGTTAGGACTCTGGGGGCCGGTCTGAAGCACACGGGGCTGGCTAGAGCTGGGACGTGTTGCAGCTCAAGTCTGGGATCTGTAGGTCAGAGCAACAATCGATTCTAGAGACAGATGGTGAGTGCATTCTGCAAAAGCCCCCAGGGTTTGCCGACAAGTTCCTAGGATGCTCTCCTCAAATGGCAGGAATTGGACACTTCAAAAGAGTGAACTTCACGGTGTGTAGGAAAGAACTTGGCCTTGCCCAAGAGAGGTCTGGCTTTTGCCCTTGGCTTCTGGGAGGTGATCTGTGTCATGCCTGATAGGAGGGTCTTTGGTTAGGTTGCGGGCTGACCACACTGGATCTTAGGCTGAAGCCTCACCAGAGAGTCACAGGATGGAGGTTGGTGGGGCTGGAAAGACCAACGTTGTGACTTAGGGCAGGGGCTTTGGGTCATGCAGTGTCATGGGCACATTTTTGTGTGGATGCGTGCTTTCAGTTCTCCTGGGCAGATAACCAGCCACGAGGTAGCCTCCCCCTGCCCGCCACCCCCTGCTGTGCTCTTGGCCATCAGCACATCAAGACACGCCCCCTCCTGACATGGAGACTGAGATTGCTATGTGGGCCATCAATCAATCAATCAATCAATCATTAATGGAGCCCCAATAAAAACTCTGGACACCAAGCCTAGGGGGAGCTACTCTGTGTAGTGATTCTTTCATCATCTTAAAAATACCTTTTCCAAAGAAAAAGTTTTGAATTTTGATAGAGTCCAATCTATTGATTATTTTTTCTTTTATACACTATGCTTTTGGAGACATGTTTAAGAATTCTTCACAAAGCCTTAGGTCTTGAGTATTTTTTCCTCTGTTTTCTTCTAAAAGATTCATGGTCTTATGGTTTACTTTTAAGTTTATGATTCGTTTTGAGTTAATTTTTGTATGAAGCGCAAGGTTTAGATTGAATTTTTCCCTTTTCTTAAAAAATTGAGGTATACTTTGCATGTAACAGTATGTTAGCTTTGGGTATACAACTTCATGATTCGATATTTGTATATGTTGTGAAATGATCACCACAATAAGTCTAGTTAACATCCATCATCATACAAGTTACAGAATTTTTTGTGATGAGAATGTTTAACGCCTACTCTCTTAGTAACTTTCAGATATGCAATACAGTATCACTAACTATAGTCACAGTGCTGTACGTAACTAAATGGCTTTGTAACCTCTTGACCCCCTTCATCCATTTTGCTCACTCCACACACCCTGCCTCTGGGTGGGCAGCCACCAGTTTGTTCTCTGTATCTGTGAGCTTGGGTTTTTACTATTTTGCTTCTGTTTTTTTAAATTCCATGTGTAAGTGGGATCATATGGTATTTGTCTTTCTCTGACTTGTTTCACTCAGTATGATGCCCTGGGGATGCATCCATGTTGTCCCTACTGTCAAGACTCTCTTTTTTTATGATGGAATAACTTAGGTTGTTTGTATATCTTGGCTATTGTAAATAATGCTGCATTGAACGCGGTGATGCAGATACCTGTTCGAATTAGTGTTTCTGTTTCCTTAGGATGAATACCCGGAAGTGAAACTGCTGGATCATATGGCAGTTCTATTTTTAACTTTTTGAGGAACCTCCAAAGTGTTTTCCATAGTAGCTGTACCAGTTTATTAATACATCCTTACCCACAGCGCCTGTGGGTTTCCTGTACTCCACATCCTCACCAAAATGATTATTGCTTGTCTTTTTTATAATAGCCATTCTCAACAGGTATGAGGTAATGTTTCACTTTTGTTTCAATTTGCATTTCCATGATAATTAGTGACGTTGAGCATCTTTTCCTGTACCTGTTGGCCATCTGTTTGTCATCTTTGGTAAAATGTCTATTCAGATCTCCTGCCCATTTATTTATTTATTTTTCCTTTTCTGTGATTTTATCGACTTTAAAATTTTTTTTATTGAAATATAGTTGATTTACAATGTTGTGTTAATTTCTGCTGTACAGCAAAGTGATTCAGTTATACATACATACATATATATATATATATATATATATATATACACTTTTTTTTAGCACCTTCATTTCTTTCCTTTTTTTAAGTTTATTTATTTAGTTTTGGCTGCGTTGGGTCTTTGTTGCTGTGCGCGGGCTTCTCATTGCAGTGGCTTCTCTTGTTGTGGAGCACAGGCTCTAGGCACTCAGGCTTTAGTAGCTGTGGCATGAGGGCTCAGTAGTTGTGGCTCGCAGGCTCTAGAGTGCAGGCTCAGTAGTTGTGGCGCATGGGCTTAGTTGCTCTGCGGCATGTGGGATCTTCCCAGACCAGGGCTCAAACCATGTCCCCTGCATTGGCAGGCGGAGTCTTAACTGCTGCGGCACCAGGCAAGTCCCCACACATTCTTATTTTTACATTCTTTTCCATTATGATTTATCATAGGATACTGGATATAGTTCCCTGTGCTATACAGTAGAACCTTGTTGTTTATCTGTTCTATATATAATAG